GAGGTTTCCAACTCCACATTCATCATCCAACTGCTCTTTAAGAGAGCTCAGCCCTTCCCGGCCATCACGACGGCCCCAGGATCCTCTGCAAGGGGGACGTGGCTGCAGCCTGCAGGCTCCGTCCTATGGCTCCCATGCTGTTTTCCCTCTCAGGGCGAGCAGCTCATGTTTTCTCACATTTTTTCTGAAGTCATTCTGTGTTTTTAGAAGGGTGCACTAAGCTGGGAAGGATTTTTTCGCAGGACTGTGTTTGCTTTGGTCACTGCCTCTGCACTGCTGTGCTCCGAGCGCTGTTCTACTCTCTGTTGAACTGTGTTGTCCCCCTGCTCAGATTTGCTAGAGCCAGAGGACAGGGGAACAGGGCAGGATTGTTTGGCTGATGGAGGGCAGAGCTTTGCCAGGAGCGGGAAGGAAAACAGGGAGCATCACAGCCTTGGCTTTACCCCGGGGCTCAGCACTGGGCATGTGTTTCTAACAGGGAACATCTTTGGGGGAGTCTCCATTCTTGTTGGATGCCAATATGGGGTCCTCATCCTTCCTGAGGGTCTAAGACTCTCGCAGGGTGTTTTTTTCAGAAAATGGAGATGGAAATATTCAGCTTTGAGATAGAGATGTCCAGCACTGAGATGGAGATGTTCAGCGGTGAGAAAGAGAGATGGAGATACTCAGCGTTGGGATGGGGATGTTCAGTGTTGGGATGGAGATACCCGGCATGGAGATGGAGATGTTCAGCAGCCATCAGCAGCCTGCTTGCCCACCCCAAACTCATCTGAAGTGACCACCGCCCTGTAGCAAGAGCGGAGGAAATTCAAACCCTTACTTTTGGACCAGGTGAAATGCTCCTTATCATTAAAAGGAGACGGGATGGGAGTGTCCACATGTCCCTACATCCCGCATCCCACCCAGGCTCTGCCGGTGCCTTCAGGAGGTGGAAGATGTGGGGGCAGCAGGAGCAGTGGGCTGTGCTCTGGGCTGGGCTGCTGAGCCCACAAGCATGGGGAAATAGCTGGGAAGAGCCAGCTGGCCCTGCTCCTCCAGCACTGCTGCATCGCCTGGCCGGAGAATAGTTGAAGCTTTGCCATGAGGAGCCTGGCTGTGTTGCAAAGCCCTTCCCATTCCCTGGGAATCGGGCAGCAGAGAGAAAGCAAAATGCCGCAGACCTCGTTCTGGCTGGAGATGTGTCCTGTTGTCTTCAGCACAAATCATTCCAGTGATACAACCCCAGGGCTCTGCGTCCTGTGATCCACAACGGTGGGGATAGGTGACACAGCAGCCAGTGCTATGGCCACCAAAGAGCCCAGCTCCTGACCCATACCCAGCTGCAAATAGCAGGGCAAGGAAAGAAGGACCCGCAGTGTTTCAGGTGGCTTTCTTCCATAGACCCTGGGTTTTGATGTCATCATCACACTTTTGGATTCCACCCCCCATTGCACCATCCCAAAAAACAGCTCCCAGGGTAAATCTGAGCTGTGCGGGAAGATGACCTCAAACCAACTCCTGGTGCTCCTCAAGGGCTGCTGCATCCACAGCGCCTCGCTGCTGCCTCCGTCCTGAGCCATCGGGAACAGCAATAGGTCCCTGTGGGTCCTTGCTGACCCCAGCCCCCTGGATTTGTGCTCTATAGGGCTGTGAACTTCTATTTGTTGCACTTTTCATTAAGAGCCAGCGGGGTTATGTGCACTCTGGGTGTGAGCTGGGCTCATGCCCACGCTTGGCCATGGGTTGGGTTTTGACACCTTTTGGAAACCGCATTCGTCCCAGGGCAGCCAGCGGTGGCTTGGGGAAAAAAAGAGGGGTTTTTAGCAGGAGAGAAACACAGAAACATGCAGACTGGAGCAGCGCTCTGTGCTCGTCATCGCCGCCAAGGAACCAGATCCAGATGGCACCGGTGCCTGGTGCCTGCTTGGTGACACAGATCCGGCTGCGTGCCAGGCTCTCAGAGCAGGATGCCTGCCACAGGGATCTGCTGCATCCTTCAGCCTCTTCCCCCTCACTTCCCTTAAGCAGCACAGCCAGCAGTGGGTGCACTGGGGATGTGGTGGCAGGACGCGGGGTCACCAGAGTGCATGTTCCCCCCGGGCTCCAGCTGTGCTCACATCCCGTGAGGGCTGGCAGGCCTGCACCTGGCTGGGTGACTCAGCACAGCCCCGGGGGCCAGAGGGCTGCCCGGCTCTGCATATGCAATAGCTGCCCATGGGAGCGGGCTGAGTCACCGCGTGCCGCACAGCTGGCGGCCGTGAGCACATCTGGCTGCCCTACAGGAGCAGAGCTGCTGTCCTGGCTGCTCACGGCCAGGCAGGGCTGCAGGGGTTTGGTGTCTCCAAGAAGCTCAGCCAAAAAAGCCCGATAGACCTTGCACATTGTGCAGGCAGGGCAGTAAGTGGCCAGGAGCTGGCCCTGCTCTGTCCCCCAGGCTGGGTGGCTCACTCCGCTGCCCATGGACGCTGTCACCGTTCCAGCTTTGCTCCTGAAAACATTTGCATTTATTTTTGGGCAATACCTGCCTTTCTAAATATTTGCCTTGCTGTTAGTGCCTGGCCTGCTCACAGCTGGGGCTCCTTCCTCTGCTCACCTCTACACCGGGATGAGATCCTAGCAGAGCATCCTCCAGCCGTACCCCTGGGGTACCCCGTGCCCAGGACCCCACCTCTCTTCACAGGCCCCACATCCCCCAGGGTGCCCATAGGATCACCACATCCCCCAGGCTGCACACAGGGTTACCCAGAGCATTTCAAGGGTCATCCATCGTTCTGAAGCTCCCATTTGCCAGCACAGGCAGCTCCCAATGAGCCCCAGCTGCTGGAGACAAGACCCCAAGTTAGGAAATTCAACAGGGCTCCAAGGAGATGCCATCCCTCTCCTCCTGGCAGGACAGGTCACAGCAGAAGGCTGGGACAGGGACATGGTGGATTTCATCCCCACCTGAGCGCAAGGAACTGCAGTAACTCCTCCACGGCTTTGCCCCCTTTGAGGTGGTCCTGCTTTGCCTCCATCCCAGGTGCAGATGCAACACAAGTCCATCAAGTCCAGCTCTGCAGTTTGGGCATCTGCCAGCAGCAAGGAACAAGACCGAGTTTAGCGATACAATTATTTGTGTTGCAAGCAAGCCAAGAAATCCATGGCCAATGGAGCAAAGGGCCGTCCCCACCTCTGCTCCACATTGGACATGGCCCTCCAGGCCAGGACCCTTCCAGCACAGCTCCTTTCTTACCACTGAGGGTTGAATCATGGTGTTGCAGCCCTTCTTTCAACACACAGAAGGGATTTGGCAACCCTGCGGGCTATTAATAGAGCCGGGCTGTTTTCTGAGAGCCCCACGTTGTGTTGAGAGCAAAGCAAACTGCAAGAGGCAAAGCACTGAGTTTACCTAAGGAGAGGTCAGGTGAGTGAGGAAACAAGCTGTCGGGGAGCAGGAACCAGAGCAGTGCCCTCTCCTCCCTTATCGTCTCCTGTCCCCGCGCTGGCTCCGCTCAGCCAGGAGGGAACAATGAACAAAGAGCAGCCACGTGGCACTGCAGGACTCGCCACCTGCGCTCCGTCCCCACTTCTGCCTTGCTCGGCCCATTCTGATTCCTGCTTTTCCAACTTGAGCTCCCCTTCTTCTGGCCTCTCAGGCTGGGCAAGTCTCCTGTACGGACACCTGCGTCGCTCAGCCTGGGGACGGAGTGAGACACCTTAGGGCGATGGATGTAACCCCAGGAGGAGATGCTGGGATGTGGCATCTCTCTGTTGGGAAGGGAAAATAGAGCGAGAAGGTGTGTGGGGATTCTCAGCTCCAGAAGGAAGGAGGCAGAGGGGATCCAGCCCCTGTCTGGCTGAGCAGGACACACATGAAGCCACCTGTGGCAGCTGCCCTGTAGGAACCACAGTCCCCATCTCTCCCCTGGCCACGATTGGGAGCACAGCTGTATTTTCATCAATGGAAGCATCAGGCACACATCCTCAGCAATAAGGAAACCCGGCCCGCCCCAAGGCCACTCGTTATCTCACATCCCAGCTCCATCCTGCACCCTCCCTGTCCCAGAAGTGCGTCAGCACAGCTCCTCTGCCACCTCTGGCCATGCCAACACCACACCAGCTCCTTCCCTTCTCCCATCCCCTCCAGGGCCCTGGATTGCAGCTCGATGCTTTTAAAATTGGATGTCCCTGAACGAGGCCCACCTGCCTTGCGCCCCTCACCACAGGGGCTGTTCAAAGAGCCTCAGCTGGTAGCTCTTCCCCAGCCACAGCTCCAGGAAGGCTGCCATCCTCCTCCTCCTTCCCCCAGCCTCGCCAGACACTCCATCCCTGTGGCACCAGGAACTGATGAGCACAAGTGACACAAGCCAGGACACCAGCTCTTGTCTTGGTTCACATCCTGGCAGCACTGGCAGCTGCCCACACACAGGCACGTGTCCTTCCCATGACATCTGCTCCTGCATGCTTCCTCCGGCTGCAGCCACATCTTTAGCCATCCTGCGGCTGTATTCCCACTGCATAGCCACAATAGGGTCTGTGGCCACTGGTGGTCTGGGGCACCGAGGCAGGGATGGGTTGATAACAGCTGATTTGGAATGTTCACCTTCCATCCCACCTGAGAAAAGCTGTGGTTCACCCAGAGGGTCACAAAGCTGCAAGAAGAGACACGACTGCTTTCATGTCCATGGTGATGCAACCAAACCCCCAGGGCTGGCTTCCAAGGGGATCAGTCTGCTGCCCACCAGCTGAGCCACAGACCAGAAACACTCTGTAACAGTTCTTCTAAAAGCTCTTTAAACGTGAAAAGCTCATCCTACATGCTCCCTTAGTCCCTGCAGTGAGCACTCCTCTCCTTCCCTGCTCAGTCAGACCACAGCTCCCGGAGCACTCCGTACAGTGCTGGGCACTGAGTTAAACTGTTTTGCACTCAAACACAGCCATGTAATCCTAGTTTTGTATCCTCATTTTATCTTCTGTTCAATCAAAGACACCTCAGACACCTCTCAGCTGCCCTGGGATGCAGAGCTCTTGTTTCTCAGCTCTTTTCACTCGAGGCCATTAGCATTTATTATTTCTTTCCATGTTGGTCTTCTCAGAGTCACAGCTACTAAAACGAACACAATGCAGGACTGCTGCTGCCAGCGAATGCGAAGGCTGTAAGATGCAGACAACAAACTGCTCTCAATATGCAGAACATTTTCTTTCTATATGCACATATCTGGGTACACGCATGCCTGTAAAGATTTCCTCCATGCCCAAGCGCTGAGGAGTCAAACCCAGAGTCAAACCATGAGACCTGATGCAGCCCAGGACCCTGACCCAGACCTGTGCTCAGGGCCAGCAGCCCCACCTAACGCAGCCCATGGCCATGAGATGTGGCCAAGCATGTCTCCTCCGTGGTGCCTACAGCCGTGGCTGCACAGAGCTGCTGGCTGGGCTCAGGGCTCCTGGCACCTCCCTGCTGGGAGGCTCAGGGTTGGGGAACCCACTGGTGATATGAATGCTGAAACCCCCAGAGCTGTGAGCCCCCCAGCCCTTCGGCTTCCTGCAGCCACTGTCCCCCCCTCCCCAGCAGCAAACAGGCCCTCAGCCATCAGCACCCCCACAGGGTATCAGTTTCCTGGACCCCCATTGCTTTGATGGCAGCTCTCCAGGATCGATTAAGCAGCACGAGAGGCAGCAATTCTTCCAGCCAGAACTGAGATGTGGCACTGACCCCTAGTGACAGGCTTCTACTTGGATGCTGAGCAGCGAAGACCTGTGATAGAAAAATGACACGCAGCCAAAAGCAGCGGGGATCCGGGAAGGCTCCTGGTATTGCACAAAATCTGCTAAGTCAGTGATCCTCCTGCAACTGCACTCAGCAGCCAAGGAGCCTTCCTGGAAGCGTGCTTCCATCCTAGACATGCTGCTCCAGGACCCAAATGCAGATCTCAAGTTGAACTTGAGATAAGAGTTTATTTAAGAGATGAATGAAAAGCCCAAACATTGCACTTTGTCTGCCTGAAGAGTGATGCAGTAAGAGGGAAAGCAGCCACCAGTGCTGGGTTAGTGCTGGAAATTACCCGTGTACAGGTCATGGAGCACAGTGTTACAAATTTGAGTTGCAGAGGAATGATGGGAACTCACAGAGGCTCTGCTTGCACACTGACCTACTCCTTTCCTTGGGAAAATGCAGCTGCATGGAAGACTGTGTACTGCACATTTATTACTTTAAATACATACGTTCTGGCTCTGAGCCTGTCAGAGTCCAAAAATGGTCTGTTTCAATTATGGGCTGCATGGAGGGCACAGAACTAATGGTCTATTCCTTGGCATTTCAAAATATTCCCATCTATGTGGGCTGCTTGCAGGACGAGAGAGACTTCACAGGGCTCTCAGCAGATCCTTAACATCATTTTTTCCCCTCACCAGTAGCTTCAGAGCCACAAACAGGGGGAGGACCTGACCCTCCCCTCACATCTCAGCAGGGCTGTGGAACAGAGCAGATGTTTACTAAAGGCAGTGGGAAGACTGTTGTGGCCATTAGTGGAATTAGACAAAGCTTTCTTCCTAAAACATTGCTCCGTCCAGGTCATATCCCATGCTGTCTTGCAGCACGGAATCAGACCGTCCCAAGGAAAGGAGCAGAGGCTGAAATGCCACTTCCCCACGCTCCAGATCTCCCACTCATCACCAGAAGGATGTGAAACAGCTCTGTCCCACATTGGCACCACCTGTCCCCAATACTGCCAGCCTTGCCTCTCACTTCTCCTTATCTCTGCGCTGGTCTTTCTGCAGACCTCATTTCCTGCACCATCCTTGGCTCAGAAGGCACCAACCTCACTGCTGTTACCCAGACCAAAGAAAACGAAGCAGAAGCTGTAAATAACCCCCTGGGCTCACAACCAAGAAAATGCCAGCATTGAGCAAAGCCACCTTCCAATCTGCCCGCCTTTGGGCTTTGCTGGCAAATCTTTATTTTGGGTACTCGCAGCTGTTGTGATGACCTGAGCTCTTCATAATAAAGCTGCTTTAGCCAGATATGCTATTACCCCTGGGAATGAGAACACCCGTGGATTCAGTTCACCACTCAGGTGTAAACAATCGCATGTCAGTTTAAACACTTCAGCCTTCCAGCCAGAGGTTTGTTTGCCCTCCCAGCTCTGCACAGTTACCGTGCAGATTTAACTGTTTATGGAGAGCACAGCTTGCCAACACAACTCTGTAGAGCCTCTGCTGAAACGAAGGGAAGATAAATGTTCTTTATCCCGGAATCACTCGCTCTCTTCCTGCTCAGATATATAGAAACTGTGAAGAAAAGCTGCAGTGTTTCAACTTTTCTGGCATAATTTCTGTGTGGGCAAGCCCTCAGTATGCCAAGTGACCTCACTCTGCCTCTCCACTAACGAACAGGCAGGCAGAACTCAGCAGCAACCTTCATGAAGACCTGCTCTCACAATTTACTGTGAAATGCAACACGGCCTGCACCCAGGAGGGCCAAGCCACGTGTCGTATGGATGTGTTTCTGCTATCAGAAATCACAGGTACCACAGAACTACCTGCAACAGAACTACAGACAGAACTACAGAACTGCAACACAGAATTTAGACCGAAATTTAAGGGCCATTCCTGTCAATTTACAGTTGAACTCACTTCTCTCTCTGCTGCAAAGGCTCACTGAGGGCACTGTCCCACAGCCTCCTGCTCTCACAGCTCACTGTGCCTCCTGGCCTGCTTTTCCCTGCCTGCCAACCTTGGGGCTGTGCCCCGCAGGTCCCTCCCAGGGCCCTGGGCTTTCCCTGCTTTCACCCCGACTTGCTCAATCAGTTCCTCTCTGATTGTGGCTTTTTCTTCAGAGCCTTGCAGCTGCTGCTGCTCCTGTCTGTCCTCTTGGTGAGAGGAGGTATGGAGGGTGAATTCGGGCCCTGCGGCCTCCATCATCTGGAGGAAATCGTAAGCAGGAAGAGGTGGTTTCCAGTCTTCCTCAGACAGGGTACCTGCAAGGTGAAGACAGTCTTTTGTTAGTAAGTTAAGAGGCTGTGATGTAACCCACTTTACAGTCATTTCCATTTCAAAGCAAATATGGCTTTTCTGCCCTTCCAGTGAATGCAAAATTAAAGATCTCTTTTTAAAGTTCACTCTTTCTTCTCCACAACTAATAATGCCACCCAAACCAAACCAGCCACAGATGCATTAACATTTACAGGAGCTGGCTGAGGGCTCAGCTCCTCAAAGGCTGGTTCCTGTGTCTTCAGACATCAAGCTGTGAATTTTACAAGCAGCAGCACGCTCTCTCTCTACCAGTGAATGGATGTTTCACTCAGATCTCAAATAACTGTGCTAATGACTTAGCATTACTGAAATGCCATTAGGAATGAGGGGAGACTGCTGTCTCTGCAAAGAGGAAGCAGCACCATTAAGTGAGGATGCTCTTTAATTTGTGCTTTTAAGGCTGATCACACAGACCTAAAAGCTTAGCAAGGAGGCTGTGATGGCTGGCAGAGCCCTTGGCCATGCTGCCCAACCATCAGAGCACCCCTCTGGCACCTGGAAAGCTGAATGAAGGAAGGTCCTTAACTGGAGACCTAAATGACATCCATCCTTTGGCACTGGAGATGGGAAGAGCTGTGGGAGAAGGGCTGGGTCACAGAGCTGTAGCAGCCAGGCCACAAGTGATGTCTGATTACTGACAACACCTCCATATCCTACCTTGCCAGGCTGCTGCTGCTGGCGTTTGAAAACAATTGCTGTGAAAGGCTTATCTTAAGATTCCACAAGATCAAACCCCCATTTCAATTCAGGAGCCTGAAGCAGGCCATCAGCCAGCTGTTCCCGAGTTTGTGGCACCCAATGGCTACTCCTACCATATGAGGAAGGCACATTTACACTGCCTTCCTCCAAAGCTTCAGCAGCTGATCAAGGAAGGAAGGGACTTAGTGAAAGGCTTCACAGTAAATGCCAACCGTTGATGTTCCAAAGACCACAGCAAGGCTTCGGCTTCCTCACACTTTCCTGTCTATAAAAATGCTGGAAGTTGCCTAAAGAGAAGCTATTTCTAACGCTGGGACTCTGGAGATTTTCTTATTAGCAAGCAATGTTTCAGCAGGTCTATTCTCAGCAATCAGAAAGCACAGCCAGGTCTGGGGATTATGCAGGGAAGAGATGCCGATTCAGAACTATTCATGCTTGGCTCTGAATGTTAAACAGTCCTGCAGCAAACTCGTGAGTAAGGGTATTCTGTTCTGGCTGGACGATTTGTACTGCTCCAACTCAAACTAGAATAGCTAGTTTTTCCATAATTAAATTCCAGGACAGACAATTTATTGCACGTAGCATCTTCTCATAAACACACCAAAGCTAACAGTGCATGCTTAGGAACATTTCAAACGCTCATCCACTTACTGCTGGGAATCTCCAGTCCTGCCTTCAGTTTCTCCAGCCAAGATAAGATGTTCATTTCAGTGATTGACTGCTCTGATGGGAACTTAAACACTTGACCTCCAGCATGAAGGTTCACCCAGACAAGAGCAGGCAATGAAGGTATGGTGGCAAAGTATGCCTTCAGGACCCCACGGCCCACTGGAGTGTTCTTCCTGTTGGGGAGATCCAACAACGTGCTCAACAATAGTTTGGCAGCAGAATATGTCCTCAGGGTCAAGAAAGCATTAAATCTCTCAGGCTACTTTCAGCAAAACATGTATGCATTGTTTTACCTATGGGACAGCTGTAGAAGTTCACAGCTCAAGGACTTAAGCCCTTATTGTCTAATGGACAGGGAGTGGACAGCAGAACAGATGAGTTAAGATATCCTCTAGCAGGAGGAGCAGGGACAAATTCTGCTGGGACAGATTCTGCACAAAGGTGTGAAATCTTCTCCACCGCAAGTTTTTAAGAGCAAGTCAGATGGGAATGACACACTGCAGTTAACTCTCGTAGTGCTGGACATCTGCTGTGGGAACTACCAGCTCTTGTCACCACCCTGCAGCTGCAGCAGCCACCAGCAGGTAGAAGTGCTATGAGCTGGTGCAGAGGGCTGTGCTCGTGCAATCCAGTCCCTTGGCATCTGTGGAGTGGTTTCCTGCAGTCAGTGGGCAGAGACAAGGAGTTGGAATGGCAACTCCTCCAAGAGACACAGGGAGAGCCAAAAGAGGAGATCCAACTAAGATGGAGGGTCAGCAAGGACACAGAGATGATGAGTCCTTCAGGCCCTATTTTCAGGCTCAGTGATGCACAGGGTCTGAGTTGGCTTTCACCATGGGAATGAGGTCCTCTTTCTAGGATTATGTTGCTCTTTTAAAGCCAGTGACCATTTTCTGCCCCGGTAAAGGACAGCTTATTCTTTCTCAGTAAAAGAGAACAGAGGCAGATGTGTAGGTGGGGAAGTTCCAGGGACTCTCATTTCTTGCGCATTACTGGCAAACAAAGTTAGCTAAACTCCAGCCCACGCTGCTAGGCACTTCCCAGACTTCAAAGCACGCTATGATTAAGACAGTGAGGTGTCTCTGGGCTTGAACAAAACAATCAGAGGTTAAAAACTGAAAACTTACACAGGAGGGGAGGATTTTAAAAAGTCCCCTTTTCTATCTTTTTTTTTTTTTTTTAATTATTTTTAGTGCCAGGATTCATTTTGTTTCTCCATTATTTTTCAGGTTTGCCTTACAGAGCTTCTTCCAGAAACTTTCATTTTTCCCCACGGTCAGCAATCACTAATTGGCCCATTGTGTTTCACACTAATTGCTGATGGAATAATTATATTAAGACTCTCTAGGAGGGCAAATGTACTTCTTTTCTTCCACATGTAAAAAAATAATAAATTCAGGTCCAGAGTGAAGCTACCACGCAGCATCCTCGAGAAATTTTACTCTACTGGCAATTACTTCTGCAATCAATTAAGGTTTTTACTAATTTTACTTTTTTGTGCAATTTTGCAGCTGCCCAGAATACGTACTGAATCACTGCTAAATGATTTGGCCTCCCAACCCATGATGATTTCAGACCCAATGATCACATTGCCACATCGATAGCGTTCTGAGTAATTGCAGACTCTGTTTTTTCCTTGCCCTGCAATGCTAAGAGCAAGGTAAGGGAAAGAAACAAAGAGGTTTTAGCATACTCACAAGTTCAACCAGCACGACACAAATGCTTGCTGAGATCTCCCTTTTGCCAGTGTCAGCATTTCCTTGCTTTCTGTTTGACCAATGTCACCATCACTAAACAAGATGAGGAAAGGCTTTCCGAGTTGCAAGTAGCGGGGCAGATTTTGCACGGTGATTTCTGGCTGCAAGACACCAAAACAAGAAGTTGGTGTGTAAGGGGATGAGGGAGCAAGACAGAATTAGACTTTCTGTTCTTACATGAGTGGGTCAGGGGCTGAGCAAAGCTGTGGGGTTTGCGTTGAATGCGAGAATCTCAAAGTCCAATGTGGATTTGGGGACTTCAGTGCACTTTGGAAATGCTTACACCCATCCATGCCTATCACAAGGCAGGTCTGAATGAGAAGCTGTGTACTTTGAGGTGAATGGGTGTGAGCAGAAAGGCAAAGCAGGTTTCATCCAGCTTATGTGCAGGGAGCAGGCCTTGGAAGATGCCTACAACAGTAGGTCCAGGACTAAAAGCACCAGCCAGCCAACTGACTCCCAGGGCCTCCTCCCAAGGGACAACGCTACAAACAACACATTTCTGGCCAGACCGTTGGCTCCAAGTCATAAAGGATAAAAACAATGGGAGCAAATAATGAGCAAATGTATTTATTTTGCAAGCTCAGTGCTGTAATCAGCGCTTCTGAAAATAACTTCAGTGGAAAAAGGACACGTTTCTTTTACTTACAAAAAGATCCAGCAGCTCATATCTGATCATCTCCACGATGTCCTGTGCACTCTGCTTGGACAAAGCGATGCCTTCCACGCTCTGACTGCTGCTCCTGGCAAGGAGGAGGGCAGGAGGAGACACTGCGTATTTATGGGACCTGAAAAAAACCCAGCCAACTCACAGCAGGTACCAAACATACACAAACTAAGCATTCAATTAAGGCAGGGGAGGTTTGGGTTGGATATGAGGAGGAAGTTTTTCAGCCAGAGGTGGTGAGGCACTGGCACAGGTTGCCCAAGGAGGCTGTGGATGCCCCATCCCTGCAGGCATTCAAGGCCAGGCTGGATGTGGCTCTGGGCAGCCTGGGCTGCTGGTTGGCGACCTGCACACAGCAGGGGGTTGGAGCTGGATGAGCACTGTGCTCCTTTGCAACCCAGGCCATTCTGTGATTCTATGATTGTATGATTCTATCAATTGAGCTCCATGGGCTTTGATTGTTGGCAGTTTTGTGCAGTTCTGCTGAAGTTCAGCAAATGTTACAGCAGCAGACATACCCTGTGACTCACTTTTATCAGAGAAACCAGCCCCTCTGTTGCTCCTCAACATACTTTGGGTAAAAGAGTTCAAGGGCATTAAAAGAAAAGCTGAGCAGGTGGAAATAGCAAAAATAGGAGAAGTCTGAGCAATGAAAGGGCACCACACCAAGATGGGTGAGCAATGTGCTGGAAGTTTGAAGAAGTTCACCCTAAAGACTCCAGATGTCACCGCCCAGAGGAAGGGTGAAACAGAGGAAGTGAACAGCCCCAGCTGTTTCTTGGGGGTGTCAGTAGTTTATCTGTCAAAGGCTGCTGGTATTTCTTCAAAGGCTGTGACACCACTATTGCTGGGGAAGTCAGCCTGTGTGAGAGAAACTGAGGGCATTCTGGGCTGAGGAGGCCTTTGATTTCCTTTTCTAGGGTAATCTGGTGTGCCTAATCTCCTTTTTTCTGTATGAAGAAGATGCAACGTGGGGGGAGACGTGCTCAAATGTGCTTTAAAACCTCGGTGTTTGGTGTTTCAGGCCACAAAGACAAAGCAGGTGAAGATGACACCAGATGAGACATTTCTGCGCCCTTCGGTTCAAATGCAGACCTTTCACTTCGCCCCTCACCCCATTTCTCTGCTGGGAAGAAAACACACCCACTGCACATCTGCTAAGGGAAAGCCAAGATCTGCACTGGTATCTTGACAAAGAGTGGCAGTAATGACCTTCCTGAGGCTTTCAAGCCTTATCAATCCTTTGCTGATCTGTTCTCGTGCTCATCAGAGCTTTTTCACTTTCATTTTTCTGCTTTTTTCAGTCCGTTCTGCTTTGGTTTTCTGTTCATTTCCACACACTCAGGTGTGGGGTTTTTTGTTTGTTTTGTTTTGTTTTCCTACCAGAACCTTCCCAGTTTTCTCCAGATCACAGAAGCACAGCAATTTCTTAACTCCCATCACACTGTGACACCAATGGAAAGCCAGACGCTCCAGGAACTCTTGCAGCTCACACCCCAAAGGCCAGGGCCGTACCTCACATATATTTCTTTCCCCTAGAAATACCTGTCAGTCCAGCCCTGAGCTGTGCTGTGCCCTTCCTGCCTGGATTCACGAGCTCCTTGAGTCCAGCACGTTATTTCACACCTCTGGTCACGGCTGGGAATCCTCTGAGCTGCTGAGAAGATCTGTAACTTCCCTGTCGGTTGTTTTTTCAAGTTAACTTGCATTTGCCTTTGATTGAGAACAGAAAAACCTTCCAAATATTTTAAATTCTGCTCCTTTTTCAAACTCCCCAAGTCTTAAAGAGACACTCTGGCAGAGCCACGTCTCCAAGGAGGTCAGAACTCTTGTTCTCTGTGTCTAAAAAGATGAACTCATTCAGCAGCCTTCGATAAGGAAGCTCCCAACACTGCCAGAAAACCAACAAATTCCCCACCTCATAACTGGAGTCTACCCTGAAGTCACCTCTGATTTTCCCAGTAACATGACCAACACCTATCAAGTGGTTGCACCTCTGCTTGTGACAGCTTTCTATTTATATAGCTGGCATTACATGGGTAATACGAGACTTGCATTTAAATCAAAAACATCTGCAAACAAATGCTTGGCAGGAATCTGCGACATCTAAATATGTGAGAAATAAATGACTTCATTCAAAGTATTTCTTCATTGGTGCTTTGTTGCATTTGTTCCCAACGGACCAGGTGTTTGCTGAGCAAACAGTTTTGTTTAGAACGTTCCTTGGTGCATTTTATATACCTTTTCTTCTGGGGGAATGTGAGCAGGGCCCAGTTTTCTGTGACTTAGGAGCCACAAACATTTCCTTAGTGTGAGCTTAGCACAAAAACAGCTTTTCTTCTCTCGAGAAGGGAAGTGAGCCCGACTCTTGCATAAGGAATTCCTGTAAGTGTTTACTTTCTACTTACACTTGAGAAGATGACCATCTACAGTAGCTTCACCCACAAATAACAGCTAAAAACACCTTCCACAGCCAGAATCCAAACTTGGCAGAATGAATATCAATACAAACTGCATTAACTATCCCAAGCAAATAGGAGCACTCTCCAGACTATGGCTGGAGCAGGAGGATGGAGATGTATTCTTGGATGCGTCACTGCTGACAGGACACAGACTTCTGTTGGTGTCATCAAACACAGCAGGGATGTGGCACGTTCCTAAGAAACTAGCAAAAAGAATTCACTGCTATGTTAATGGCTGTTAAAACCCACGCCAGCAAGAAGGGACACTTGGGGATTTTTAATGCTGCACTGGTGGCTGATTCCTGATGGGAACGAGATGCTGGGAGAAGGCAAAGACCCCTTCTGGATCTCCCTGCATTTATAAGCACTGAAACATCCCTCACAGCCTGATTCAAAGCACTTTTCCTGTTGGAGGAGCGAGCACGAGCCTTAAGCTAAATGCACAGACCCATGGACTCTGAAGTCCCATTAGCTACAATTTGGCTTAAACTGAGGGCTGCATTTTCCAGCACCCAGACACAATTCCTATTCCACTGGTAGCCAAGAACTCCTTGCAAGAAGGCACGGGCAGCACACAGACTCTCTTTTGGTTGCTATTTGCAAACAGGGTCAACCACCAGAGCAAGAGTCAAATTTACACCTCTGGCTTTGCAGCATCCCCCCCTACACTTCCCTTCCTCACCCATCACATGCACTTGTGCAGCATCAGAGCACGGAAGACAGAAAAAGAAGGTGCAGAGATGGCAGCAATAGGCAGAAAAATAGCAAGTCAGCATTTCTCCTCAAAGGAAAGAGAAGGGCAGAACTCTTTTTTTCTTCCTCACATTCTGATCTAGCTAAAAAATAGCATTTTTCCAGCCTGTTTTTTCCCCATATAGGTTTGGTCTGGTTTTACATGGAACCCAACAGATGCGTGAGGGACTGGCAGGGCTAGAGGACTAAAAATACCCAGAGTGAACCTGAACAACAGGAAGGGAGCTGACAGTTCATAACAGCAGGGTTAAATAGGTCGCTTGTGGAAGGGCTGTAAATCAGCAGCCCAGTCACTGCTCCATCTCTCTTTGGCAGAGTCCTGAACAGTCTTGCTACTAGGCTAAGACATTTGTAGATGTTTGGGTTGCTGATAAACACTCAGCATGGGCAGAGACACTTGCTTTAGGCAGCAGCTTTCAGTAAACGCAGGTCAGTCTGAATTGTCACCAAAGAAAAAAACAACTTACAAAGCCAAGACATCATCTTCGAAATACATCCCTGTTGTTACGTGCCCACTTAAGATGCTTCCTGCCTCTGTGAAGGCTTCCCTGACTGTAAAAGAGACAAAGAATCATAAATAAACAATAGAAAGAGAAGTGTCAGCTTCCTTCTGGAAGTCAAATCACCACATCTGCATATGTAACACCCTCCCACAGCAAACTGTCAGCTGTGAACAAAAATATGATTAGCAGCTGATGAGAAATGGGTGCATCTCATGGCCACAGGCTACACAAGGGAGGAGTTGGCAGCCACTGAAAGGGTGAGAAGGAAAGAGTTCCTATTATGAGAGCAGCCTTTGCTCTTTAGGCACCAGCACTGAGTTTCCAGGATCTGCATGACAGAGATACTGATGGAAAGTGAAATGCCCTTGAGAACTTAAAGACCATAAGTGGTGTTCTTAAAAACAGGAGACCAATTAAAAGGCTAAATAGAAATCTTATAAATCACAGCAACCTTTTGGAAAAGACTACTGCAGGAGTGTTAAGCGGCCAGAACTCTCTCCCTCAAGTGTCTTTTTGTCTTATTGGGCTCCTCCAAACAGGAGGATCTGTTACAACCACCAAGGGTCCAAAGGCACCTTGAAGGCACACTGTGTGCCACTGCTTCTTGCAGCTGGAAGGAGAGGGCTTTCCCTCTGCTGTCACAGTTCAGAGAGCAGCATCAAACCATCGATCCTTAACAGCTGCTAAGGTCTACCTCTCACCTTACAAAACTCACACAATGGGGATAAAAGGGTGTGAATCCCTTAATCTGTAACAGCTGAATCTATCTGTGCTGAGAGATTGAGAGCAGAGCTCCAGAAGGAGCCAGCTCCAAGAGCTGGTTTATGCCCTTATAAAAACATCCTCAGTTTTAGGCAACTGGATCCATGGAAGAGACAAACTTTGTGAGAATATGCAAGCCACAGTGTGTGGGCTTGTAAAATGCACTAGATAAAGATCAGGGAGAAAAAAACAACACTGCCTCAGTAGGCTGAAAATGGGGCACATTTCAGCTCTCCCACTCTTTATATCTAGCAGTTGAAGACAACAAAAAAGGCTCTTCTCATTTATGTTAGAGGAGTCAGGTCTTCCCACGAGTTGAAGTTACGATTCAGATACAGCTGTGATAAATGTTGCTACAGAGTGCAACTAAAATCTCATTCAGACAGAATTTATTGTTCCTTGTAATGCGGATCATCGTGTCAAAACTGGCCAACCCAGGCACTTGGGACCAGTGACTCAGACCTCAGTAAACTGAAGCTGCCTCAAAGCTCTTCACTTTTTTGTTCTTTGCCTCTCTGCCTTTCCAGCAAAATTTAAGGATGCATTTTTCATTGCGATCCCCTGGAACCACGAGGGCTACAAGCTTTTCTTTATACTGATTTCTTTTCTGAAAGAAAGCTTGGATCCTTAAAGAGTGGCTTGTTGGGAGTTCAGACACTGCAAGAAATAACACATGCCACAGTGCTTGTGACACAGGTTGCCCAATTAGGCTTGTGACCGTAGAATGGCCTGGGTTGAAAAAGATCACAGTGATCATCTAGTTTCAACTCCCCTCTGCCACATGCAGGGTCACCAACCACCAGCCCAGGCTGCCCAGAGCCACATCCAGCCTGTGATGTCAAGCAAATCAGGATCTGACACTGGTTTTCAGATTCACTTGGTCTTCAGTCACTTGATGTCAGTGCTGACGCAACAACCCAAGCGATCAGATGAACAGCGAGAGCTTTGCTCTGAGAACTTCACCAACAAACCCTCTGCTAATGTGGTGGCCCAGCTACAGGAGAAAAGGCCATGAAGAAGACTGTGAGCTCTGCGAGGCACGAAAGGACCCAGTGTGATACACAAAGAGCAGGCTTAAATCCAAACATCCTCAGGAGAGCACTTCCACTGGCATTTAACTTGAAACACTCACTTGAGACGTAAGTAAGCATGTGCTCAAGTGCTGCCCTGGAGAGGCCTTGGCTGCAGGAATTCTCTCCTAAATCAGGACAACATTCAGCACAGTCCACACTTGGGACTCCTAGGCTCATTCCTGCTGTTCCCTCGCCATCACACTCTGCTTTGCAGCTCCTTCCTATCACAATTCCAAAACTGTCAGCATTTTGGGGACGATTTGTGACAGACCCAGAGTCCCACACAGCAGCCTCGTAGTTCTGTGCAAGAAAACCTACGTGCACACAGTTCCACAACAGATACAGAGCACTTCCTAAGAGCTGTTTATCCTGAAAACTATATGAGATGGTAGATTGTGTAGTACTTTGCTTTCTTTATTGAGTGAAAGCTTGAAGCTAAGCTGCTTTCTGCCTTTTGCTGGTGTTCACTGTGCCTGCTGGGTGACAATGGACAGGCAACACAAGATCTCAGAACAAGTGAACGGGGATCAATCCTTCATCATCTCTTCTAACACAATATCCAGCAGCCCACAGAATGCTTGGGCAGCAGTTACTGGAAAACAGGAAATTCACAGCCATGCGTAAAATCCTCCACAAAATAAACTCACTGCCAAGGCATGCTGTGGATACCAGGCAGAGATTCTGATTATGCCAACACAAGCCATTAGATACAAAGCAGGAGGGAGATTTCTAGACTAAGGAACATCCTGAATGATGATTCCTGGAGTCTAGTTCCATGCTGCCAGGGAAAGAAATCCCTCTGAACATGTAATTGTTTTCCTAAATGTCTGCTGTTGCCACGCTGGAGAGAAAAAAATATGGGTCATGTGGGTCCTTTCTTTATTCTGCCCCAACCTAAGTCTGATCACGAGTTGAAGTGAGCAGTCTGTGCACAGACAAAGCCCCACAGACAACTTCAGATAATGCTTAATGCTTGATTTACACCGATGCTTGGCAAGCCCTACAACGTTACCAGAAATCTGAGGAGCACAGGTGTGTTCTTAAACAACTGCTGCACGTCTTAGGACACAGCCCTAATTCCAAATGTGCTTCTGAGTAGCAAATAAACCCCTGTAAAGTTCTCCCATTTTCCAGGAAAATGCTCATTCCCTGCCCTGGTAATACTCTGTATCTCTCTGCAATCCATTTCAATTATGATTTTTCTGACAGAGCTCTTTTAGCTCACATCCATTGAGTTTCTTAATATAGTTCTCACACTAAGTGATGGAAAAAATCCAGAGCTTCGTTTGACTGGACTTCAGTTAGCTGGAAATGGCAATGACGTGACACGTTGCTGGTTCAGGTAACAACAGGAATTTTTGCTATGAGAAAATAATTATAAAACTTCCAGAGAAGTCTGCAGGCTGTTAAGGACAGCAACGTGGTTTCCCTGACTCCTGGTCTGGGTTTGGTGCCAAACAGCTGGCTCCAAATTTCTGCTCCCTCAGATTATACTGCGTGACACTCAGCTATCCCTCAGGCTACACACTGAGAAAGCATCCCATCTTTCTTCTCCCTTGGCATCTGTGGCTGAGCTACCCAGACTGCAGATGCCATTCTAGATTGCAGCCTGAGCGTGCCCCAGGGGAGGAGGAAACCTTGTGGGTTCCATACAGAGCTGTTTGGAAGCCTCCAAGCCCTGTGTTTCCAAAGACAGAAGGTCTAGAAGGAAAGGACCATCTTCTGTACATAAATAGTCTGAGCTCACAATGCCATCTGGATCCAGGCAGGTTCCCTGCAAAGAACTCGTCTCACAGATCACATGCTGTCTGCAGTGCTGCCATCTGGGCTAACACAGGCACCACTGCTGCAGAGAATGGAATACATGGAATAAAAGGATGATTCCAGAGCTCAGCTGATGAAAACTAGGGAAAAATGTTTGAAAGTTTTTTTGAGACCAGTAAGATTTTCTGCTAAATTTAACACTTAGATACAGGCCCTCCAGAAGAAGGAAGGCATGCTAGATGTCACCTGGCTCGGTGAACAAAGCCCAAATGTTTACTGCCATTTTCTTCTGTTCTTATCTCTGAGCACAGTGGATTCCCTCTGAACCTCCTCATGCAACTCATTAGCTTTACTGCATTTAACCAAAGGTTACAGGCACGCTGGGTCTTCAAAAAGAAAAACAGTCTGAAATTTTGATCTTGACAAAGATCATAAAAACATCCCCCTTTTAGCGCAGTGACTCCTAGAGATAGTGGTAAATTGGAGACTGTGGGGCTGGAAGATCCTATCTGCCCACTGTGGATATGATGGAAGCATCACATGACATTCCTTTTCTAGACTGACTTTATTCCCTTTTCCTCATTAACATGTCTGATTGCCATTCTGGTGCAGCACTCTATGTAACAGACAGGAGAGGCACAACTCCAAGTTTCAGCCACCCTGCATTCCTAGCATTGACCAGGATGACACTGACCAAGAATACAATGTGAGATAAATTAAGATAAGTTCAGAACACTCCTAGCAACTGTGCTTAGCACTTACAGCTGGGACCAACTACTGCAGAAACTTTCTCATGTGCTCACCTATTTCAAAATCCAGAGAAGGATTTCAGAGGCTTGGTAGCACGTCATTCCTGTTTGATGCAAGAACTTTGCATTTTACCTCACTGCTTTTTTTTCATATTCCAGACTCCATGTCAGTTGCAAGTTGAGACTCCCACATTTGCAAGAGGAGGAGTCAGTGAGATAACCACCAATGCAACAGTGGAAAGAGCTTTCTTTCCACTGAAAAGAGTGATGAGTCTGGGCTTGTTCAGTCAGAGGCTGAGAAGAGATTTGAGAGCAGCTTACAGCTCCTTTGAAGGGGACTCATGAAGAGGATAGAGGCAGACTTTTCATGGTAAGGGACAGGAAATACAACAGGGACAGCGAAATTGTGGCTAAGTAAATTCAGATTGGCTGTTTGTGAAAACACCTCTTTGTGCAGACAGCTGTGCAGCCCTGGGACAGGTCAGCATGAAATTGTTGTTTTGTACTGGTCCAAGCACGCCTCCAAGACCTGTCAGGGCTGTCACATGCCAGCACAGTGGATATAGTAAATACATCCACAGTTGCTGGCTGATGTCAGAATATAAACTCTAGGTGCCACATATGGAATTACCCCAATCTTCTACTTACAAAAACCAAGAAAGGTGGTGCCAGGTAGGCTTTGATGTGAGCAAACATGATTGGTTCTTTAGAGAAAATGAAACATGGAGAACTTCCCAAGCATCTGAAATCAACCATCTCTGGTCAGCAATTAAATTCAAATGCTTAAGCCATAAAATGTCACTCACCTTTACTTGTGGCTGTGCTGAATACTCCCAGAACAAAAGAGTGGCGATAGGACGACAGCTCAGATGGAAGCTCTCCTCTTAAATACTGTTCTGCTTCATCAATCGTTGCCAGCTTCAGAGGGCAAGAGACTTGACTCCTATAGAAAGGCAGACAAACAATGTGGGCTGCCTTCTTCACTTTTGGGATGAAGAGACAAAATCCTCATTACAACTCTTCCCCAACCCAATGTGACAGCCATTTGATCTCAATAGAGAGCAAAATCAGCTGCCTCTGGGAAGGAAGGGCAACATCTAGGCACTGAAAGGCACTGGGACTGGTTATGGTGAGAATAGCCCTAAGCCAACCTGCACGCTCTGAGATCCTTTCTGCACACAGAACAGTCTGGCATCCCTCAGCTAAACTGCAGAGATCACTTGGTTTAGAGTAAGGGCTCGGCTGTGCTTCCAATAAAACCAAAGAGGGTTCTGCCATTCATATGGACCATATTCATATATTTTGCCATTCACCTTAGGACCACACCCCATCCCTGGGTGGGGACCCACATTAAAAATAACTGAGAAGGAATTCTGTAGTGAGAGAGGAAAAGTGACGACAGATGATGTATTGTCCAAGAAGAGATGTTTTTGACAAAGAAAAGTACAGAAAGTTATAAAACTAATTTCCAAATCAGGTCTGTAACAGGATCTGACATTTTTCCAAAATGGAATGCCATTACACAGGCCACAAAGTATCCAAAACATCATCTGGTAGACGTGCCAGTGTTACAGTGTGGGGACTCATTAAAAGGCACTTACAACACGATGAAACTGGTCAGTTCTTCAGTTCCCAACATGCCACTGTACGTTATTGGTTGCTCTCCCTTCTTGTAAATCTTTATGGTAGGAAACTGAGTGACATTCTCCATTGTGCAAACACCAGGCCAGTCCCAGCAGTTTACTCGAGACAGCAAAATCCCCTGAGTTCCTAGAATGGAAAACAAACACATAGAAATAGTAAGAAAAAAAAAAAGAGAAAGTGGAATGCTTGAAAAAGGGAGCTATGTGAACTTTTTTGGATGCTACTGTATATGTTTGTATTAACATACCAGAGCTCCTACTTGCTTTGGTGTGCATCCTACTGAGCTGGATGCTAGCACACTGCATGTACATGGAGCACATCCAGGTGACCACTGAAACGTTACTCAATCATTCCTGGAGTGAAATGCTGCTCTGTGTAGGCAGGATGTCAAAATCCAGCCCAAAATAAGCAATTCCTTCCAGTCCATGCTGTGTCCCTCTTGAAGTTATCCATGGACATGCCGTACAGCATTGAATATAAAAGCAATTATTTCCAGACTACTACTATATTAAATATTCCAGCAGGTGTGAATGGATTAAAACAATAGACCACAGAGAGATTAAACCCAGGGAAGTGGCAGCTTTCACTTCTCAGAAAGAAATACCCAGAAACATTCACATCTGGATGCAATGAAACCCTGAGGCAAACATCCAGAAGTATATATGGCAGTAAGAACAGGTGCTGGAAATACTTCATGAATGAGGCTAAGACAAAGAAACCAGGCAGGCCCTTGCTTACAGGAGAAAAAGAGGGAAAGTAAAGCTTGGCATGGAAGAGGCTGATGCACATGGGGAGGAACAGCCCCACACACAACCACATGCTGGGGACCATCCAGCTAGAAGGCAGCTCTGCTGAAGAGAACCTGGGGATGCTGGTGGACAGTAAGTCAAACATGACCAGTCCTATGCTGCTTCTGCTAAGAAGGCCAATGGCATCCTGGGCTGTATGACACAAAGCAGGTCAAAGGAGGTCATACTTTCCTCTGCCCTGCACTGGTGAGGCACCTGGAGCTCTGAGCTCACTGCCAGCAAAAGAGGCAACAGGCAAAAACCAGAACACAGGAGGATCCTGATGACCTCCAGAGATCCTTTCCAACCTAAACCATTCTGTCATTCAAGGCTTTTTTACTTAATGAGGTGCCCAGTATTGAAAAGTATCTAATTTACCTAAAACGTGCAGCTAAATACACAGTGAGAAGTTAAAGGTCACATAAACAAACTGCAATGCAATCTGGCAATCTGATGGCTTTCACTCTATTGTACCTATGCAAGATGCTCATCTCCAAGGCACCAGCAGGTACTTCAAGCCCCTAACTAAGAGGCTGGGGTTTTACAAGTAGGTAACTGGGAAAGGAACTGGAAAAGGAACTTTCCCAATGCTTGGGAACTACAGAGCAGTCAGTCCAAATCTGATTTCTTGGACGAGTACTAAAAAAGCCTTTTAATCATCAGTGTGATAAAAAGGGATCTGTAAGCAATGAAACAGATGAATGCTGTTCTCTTGAATACTTTCCACGGGCCCAAGACAGAGCACCTGCAACTTCAGCATGTCCCTATCAGCTGTCCTTTCATCTGCAGGCTGGGTGAAAGCAGCTGCTAGTCCACTGCTAAGTGTGTGCTAACTGGCCAGCAGGTGATCACTGGCCTCAGTAGCCACTACCTCCTGGCTGCTGCCTTGCCTGACCTGCCTCTTACCTACTTGCAGGTTTGACCAATGACAGCAGGGCTGAGTACAGTCCTCAGGCCATACATCGTTCATGCCCACTGCAGGAATGCAGTATCTCAGAGATCTTTATACCTTTGCTAAATTTGCTTGAACAAGATTCAACAATTGCATGGGAAAGATGGGATGAAACGCCGAGACAGGGACACACGTGGAGGCAGGTCACTGCAAGATGTTGTGTCCTTCAGAAACCAGGGCAAGGGCAGATCAAAGCAACCAAGCTTTCTTCTCTGTGTGCCCTGGGTTTGATTCTGATCGCTGCTTTCACTAGAGGCCTGGATGATGGAAAAACACACATCCAGCAGATGATCCTAGATTCAGAGGGGCAGAAAGATTTGAAGAGCAAATGCAACACTCTGTAACGAAGAACAGGACTGACATATATCATTAGTGCTGCAGATAAGGGCAAAGCTCACCCTTGGATGAACTCTCAACAGCATCTGCAAAATACAGAAGGAAAAGGATGCTCTTGTATTTTTTTCTGGTGATGCTTTTGCAGGAGCCATCGAGCCTTCGTGGAAGCTGGAAAACATTTTTGAAAGGTGTAAGCAGCTGAGAGAAAATCTGAGCGAGAGAGGTGTTTAAAAGACATCTCCTAAAGAAAAGGGGTGTTTCTTCCTAACAGAAATTGCCTGGGAAAGGGAAACAATAAAATCTAAGAACATGCAAAGTCTGGTCCTGAGGTGACGGTGGGATCTCTCTCAGTTGCCAGCTGGGAAAAGACAAGCAACAATTTATCCCCAGGCAGAGAGGCTTGACCAAGTATTAAAATTAGCTCCTGAGAACCAAGCATAGGCAAGTCTTAGGCAGAACACTTACTGAAGGGTTTTAATCACAAGTTAGAAATTTCTGTCAGGGATTGGCAAGGCTCCCCAAAGATGGGTAAAGACACAAGTGACCTCTATGTGATTTCCCATCCCAAAGCTCTGCATCCTTGACATCTCACCAGACCGTTTTATACAGCTTTCTTTTTCGGTTCTGCTTTGCAGCTCTTTCACAGGAGGAGTTCACCGCTGTTCTGCCTTGTGTCAAATGTATGGACAGAAGAAGCAAGTAGCAGCACAGAACTACTGGTCTGCAATTCCACTCAGACAGTCCAGAGCTGTCAAAACACTCCAAGAGAGCAGAAATGGTTTGTGTCATTCTCCAGGCTGTGAAATAACATCTCAATTTAAAAGCCTGCCCTGGGATTTATTTCACACCTCTGATCCGGTATGGCTGGTTCTCATCAACTGTTACCACATAATTTTGTGTCTTGCCCAACACAGAATAAAAAGTGGCACGCAAACTGAGCTTTGATGTCTTGTTAAAACTGCAAGGCTCCTCTGAGGTCCTCCAAATGGGATTTAAAGTATTTGGATACCACCTTGGGGGATTATGTACCAAGAATGACCAAGATGCCCCCAAGGAAGCCCCAGCTGGCCTGAGGAATGCTGTGTATGGGATGACCACTCCGCCATCCCAAGCTGCACCGTGTTATTAATTACCAAACACACAGCAGTTTCAGGAGTTGAGTAATTCAGCAAAAGGCAGCACAGCCCTGTGGTCACTGCTGAGCTGCTGGATGGGATGAAAGTTGAAGGAGAAACAGGGGATACTTCCTTTCTATGATTTTAGGTGCTATTCAAACTGGTGACGGAGAGAACTTCTGTTGTAAGGGTCTTCTAAAACAAGGACAAGAAGATCATTGAAAGCTACAAGGAACAGTGCAGGATATGCAAAAAATCAAGACTCCCTTAAGCAGCTAGGCCTTTAGGAGAGCAGGACTGGCATTTTCAACTTTGAGAGCTGGTCTGAAGTCTGCAAGATGAAAGAGAATTAAGTTATCTGTGAAGTGTTGCACTTCAAGAGGAGGAATCCAGTGCAGAAAGGGAAATGGCTACCTGCACAGCATCACTGCAGGAAAGCATGTCAGAGAATCTCACAGCCCACCAGCTGTTGATGTCTCACATATCTAATGTATGTGCTAACAGAAAATGAATGGCATTTGGTGTTCTGGCAGATCCTGGGTCAGAGGGCCCCCTCTCAGACCACACCACAGCTTTGTGTATGGAAGCAGAGTTCAAAAGGAATGTGACAATCTGATCTCTGCTCTCTGGTGACAGCAATAGGACCCGAGGGAACGGCACAGAGCTGCATTGGGGAGGGTCAGGTTGGGGCTTAGGAAAAGAACCCTTGGCAGAAGATGGTCGGCCTGGAACATGCTTCCCAGGGCAGTGGTCACAGCCCAAGTTGAAGGAACATTTGCACAGTGCTCTCAGAATATAGGGCTGGGTTTTGGGTGGCTGTATGGAGCCAGGAATTGGACTCAGTGATCTTTGTGGGTCCCTCCCAATTCAGGATATTCTATGACTCAATTCTGTGTGCTAAATCACACAGGTCTTTTTTAACATAAGTTAGAACTACAACTTCAGATCTCTGTCTCTGAAAGTCATTGGGCAGGAAGACCCCACAAGCATCAGGAGAGGGAAGTAAAATTGTTTTTCAGCTCAGTTTTTCAGCATATTGCTCTTCTTTTGTAGTGGTTTCTTCCTACCTTTGCAAAAAAGGCTAATGAAACATCTGAGAAATACAGTGACCCTGTCACACCTTCACAGCCTTCTGTTGCAGGGGGGCTGCTTTCATAGATTTACGTTTTACATAAGAAAACAAGAGCTGCCCTGCTTAGCCTCAGCGCAGAGAGAATGGCACACTCTCAGTGCAAGAGCAGAAAATGTGCTCTTTTCAGCAAGACAAAGGTGTTTCTCTTGATCTCTCATTTGATCGGATCTCTTAACAAAGAGAAAACACTTGGAGGGCTGTAAACTTCATTTGATGATGATCTGCTGACTGTTTGTTACTGGATGATTCATGGGGTCATCCCAGTCTCCAGCCTCCTCTGCACCCTCTTTATTTCGATGGCCTATTCTCAGTGCCATTTTCCATGGAAAATTGGCATCAAAAGTGGGACCTCATCCTGTATCTATCTAAAAACGTGCTTCTAGCGTAGCTGACTCATGCCTCAAACAGCTGATCTTGGCTTCTGAGCCCTTGGGAGGGGTTTCACCCTGAACAGCAGATACCTGTACTACTGGGGGAGCTGAGAAATTGCCCCAGAGCAACAGCCCGTGTTTAATTCTCACTGTCCTGCATAGCTCAAGCTCTTCTTCCTGATGCAGACTTCTGCCCCTTGCACTGGTGTATCTTCCCAATCACCTTGCCCAACCCTGCATCACTCTCCTGCTAACCCCAGACCCAGCTCTGGATCCCCTGACTCTGACTCCTACCTGGGAGTTCACAGATTCAGACTTCCATCAGGCTATGCCCCCTGCACTGGGACATTCACATTGATACGGCCTCTGCTCTGTCTGATCTGTTATAACTTCTGGATTCTTTAACCTCTTGACTCCAGCCCACCCTAATTCCCAGACCAGAAACACCCTCATCCTGGCCATAAAAAAGAGCCTGGGAATTCACATCCTTTTAGGACTTCCAGGTCCCCAGCAGACATCTTTGTAACTAAGTCTCTCCCAGCAGCAGATATAAAGTCACATCTTGCAGCAAATTCACTTCAGATCCAAAAGCAACCATTCTCCATCCTTTCCAAGGTCACAACAGGGAGAACAAACAGGAGTCGTTCCACAGGTCACATCTGGCCTGGGAGTCTTCAGCTGGACCTCACTGATCACAGAGGAAAGGCCTTGACTTCAATCAGTTCATAACCTTTCTTGAGAATCAGCCTATGGCTGTGTCCATGTACCAAGATTGTTATCAAATGATTAAAGCAACAGATGGTGGGAGCTTAGCCTCACACAGCCAGCCACAGTTTGGCCACTGACTCAGGAAGAGGCAGGGTTTCATCCACCGCCTCTCCCAGTTTGTTACTCTAGCTGGTTTAACAGCTGGGAAGTCTAAAGAAACCCCAAATCATCAATAACCATAACCCCTCTAACGATGATAACCCTCCCTGAGTTTTCCAGTTTATTTCTGGGCTATCAGCTCAGATCAAAGCTGATGATGACATTCCTTTTATGAAAAGCAGTAAAGCAGAACCACTTTCCTCCAAATGACAGCACTGCCCTCAGTGTTCCCAGGAGGGTTTCTTGCAAACAGCCACTTCTCAGAAAACTGTCTGGGTCCTCTGCACACTCTATACATTTTCCCTCTGCTGAGAGCTCAGCCTGAATCCTGCCTGAAGTTTGCAGGAAAAGGCATCATCCATTTCCAGGGGAACACCTCAAGGAGCAAGGAGCTACTAGGAGAAATCAGCAACCAGGAGAAATCAGCCTTGATGAAGAAGCAAAAAACAACAACAAAGAATGCACCAGCTACCTCCAGGGCTGCAAGGACAGCTCAGACTTAGATCCACTCAACTTCCTCACTGTGCTGAAATGAAGGGATGAAGCCACTTGCTTACCCCCTGCAGTTAGAGGGAAGGACAGGCATCTCTAGAACTGAGCCCATACAAGCCTGCTAGCAGTGCAGAAGAGCACACCTCTTTCCACTGATTATAGAGGGGGAGAGGGCTGAAGCCCTGAATTAAGCTGAATCAGTACTTAGATCACCCAGGAGGCATCACAGGTGCTCCTGAAGGACCAGTCCCTTCTGCCTTTAGTAGTGCATTACCTGATGTGTGTTGCCTTTAAATGTTACTGATCCTTTGCTGTCATCTATTATTTTTGGCATTCTGTGGTTGCCTGTGAGACTTCCCATGTAATTAACCCAGTCTACAGGCCCTGAAGGCATAGTCATTCTAAATTCTTTCTGCCCCATGGATCTGGGCCTGCCCCCGCCTGTCTGTTATGCTTCTACCAAAACCTGGGCCAGTTACCACTCTGCTACAGATCAAATAACCATCTTGGGATTTCTGAAAGCAGGAGACTTGATGTACCACCTCTCCCTGGCAAAAACTGAATTGGCTCTCGAGCCTCATGCTGTGCAACATGCAGTGCATCTTTACCCTGACTGGACACAGTACTGAAGGGCACCAACAGGATCCTGTTCCTCTGATGCAGACTACGGTGTCTGCTGCTGGACCCTCCACCTTCAAACCCGTGCTGTGTCACTCACTGCTTCTGGTGATGAAATGATGTGCCCATGAACATCACAGTCCCAGCTGAAGGGTGGTTTGGGCAGCTGGTGTGTGTACCAGTTTACACCAACAGCACCAGGTGACTGCACAGGGTTGCACTGCCAGTCCCATGACTTTACAGAAGCGCAAAGGGACTGCAAATATTGCTAGAGAAACAAATTCTCTTCCTGAGCAATTTAACATGGGAATGCCTTCCTTAAGAGTTCGGGAACTAAAAAGGAGTAGATTCTAGGTGAGTGAGCAAGACACCACCAATGTCTTTCCAGTTTTTTGGTGTGTACTATCAGGGCAGACGCAGACCAGCTGTACAAGCACTCAGACCTGTGGCACCTTACCTTTCAGGTGATCAGCCACCTCTGTGTAAGACTGTAGCACTGCCAGGGACACTGCCTCCCCTGAAACACAGAGGAGAAGCAGCCCTGAGTTGCATATAGGCTATGAACAACCCCACTGTGCTCTTTCACAGTGTTACATGATGATTTTCTGCATCTATGGCACTCAAAGCTCTGAAAGACTTTGAAAGAAATAAAGAAAATTGGACTTTATGTTTCTGCAGAAGAGAGCAACTAGGCTCCCTAGCCTATCTCATGAAGTCACTCTCATTTTTCTTCTTGTGTCATGTTTGCCTTGCAGAGAAAAAATTAGAAAAGCAAAAGCCCAGTGTGAACTCAACTTGGCTGCTGGGGTAAAACAGAACAAAAAAACCTTTTTGCAAATGTTTTTAACAGTAAAAGGAAGACTAAGGAGAATCTCCATCCTTTACTTTTCCCAGTGGTCACTGGGAATGTGACCACTGAGGATAAGGAAAAGGTTGAGGTTCTCAATGCCTTGATGTCTGTCTTTAAAAATCAGACCAGTTATCCTTGGGGTACTTTACCCCCTGACCTTGAAATCCCAGATGGGGAGCAGAATAAACTCTCCGCAGTTCAGATGAAAACAGTTAGAGACCTACTACTCCACCTGGACCACCATGGGGCCAGATGGGATCCACCCAAGGTGCTAAGGAAGCTGACAGAAGCGATAGCCAAGCCACTTTCCATCATCTATCTGCATTCTTGGTCAACTGGAGGATTGAAGGCTTGCCAGTGTGACTCTCATCCACAAGAAGGGTTGTAAGGGGGATCAGGGGAACTACAGGCCTGTTAGTCTGACCTCGGTCCCTGGGAAGGTTATGGAGCAAATTGTCTTGAAGGAGATGACATAGCATTGCAGGGCAGCAGGGGATAAGGCCTAGCCAGCATGAGTTCATGAAAGGCAGATCCTGACTGACCAACCTGATCTCCTTCTATCATCTAGTGACCCGTCTGGTGGATGAGGGAAAGGCTGTTGATGCAGTGTACCTAGACTTCAGCAAAGCCTTTGACACTGTCCTCCACAGCATTCTCCTGTAGAAGCTGACAGCCCGTGCCTTGGACAGGTGCACTCTTGGCTGGATAGAGAACTGGCTGGAGGGCCGGGCCCAGAGAGTGGTGGGGGATGGAGTTACATCCAGCTGGCGACCGGTCGTGAGTGGTGTTCCGCAGGGGTTGGTGCTGGGGCCTGTCCTGCTCAGTATCTTGATTGATGACCTGGATGGGGGCACTGGGTGCAGTAAGTCTGCAGGTGACCAACAAGCTGGCAAGAAATGTCAATCTGCCCAGGGGAAGGAAGGCCCTACAGAGCGATTTGGACAGGCTGGATATCTGGGCTGAAGCCAATGGGATGAGGTTCAACAAGGCCAAATGCAGGGTCCTGCACTTTGGCCACAACAACCCCAGGCAGCGCTACAGGACTGGGGCAGAGTAGATGGAAGAGTGCACAGAAGAAACAGACCTGGGGGCATTGGTCAACACTGGGCTGAACATGAGCCAGCAGTGTGCTCAGGTGGCCAAGAAGGCCAATGGCATCCTGGCTTGCATGAGAAGTAGTGTCACCAGCAGGAGCAGGGAAGTCAGTTTCCTTCTGTACTCAGCACTGGTGAGGCTGCACCTTGAGTATTGCGTTCAGTTTTGGGCCCCTCACTACAAGAAAGACCTTGAGGCCCTGGAGTGTGTCCAGAGAAGGGCAATGAAACTGGTGAGGGGTCTGGAGCACAGGGCTGATGAGGAGCGGCTGAGGGAGCTGGGATTGTTTAGTCTGCAGAAGAGGAGGCTCAGGGGAGACCTCACTGCTCTCCACAGCTATCTGAAGGGAGGTTGTAGTGAGGTGGGGGTCAGCTTCTTTTCCCATGTAACTAGTGATAGGATGAAAGGGAATGACCTCAAGTTGCACCAGGGGAGATCCAGATTGGATGTTAGGAAATAATTCTTCGAGAGAGTGGTCAGGCACTGCAATGGGCTGCCCAGGGAGGTGGTGGAGTCACCATCCCTGGAGATGTTCAAGAAACATTTAGATGTTGTACTGAGGGACATGGTTTAGTGGAAAATATTGGTGATAGGTTGGACTGGATGATCTTAGAGGCCTTTTCCAACCTTGGTGATTCTATGATTCTATGATTTGGTCCCTGAAAAAGGAAGATGGAAAACCTATAAACACTGACGTGCTTTATACTGATAGATACCATCTTCAAAGAATATCAGCCAGTGAAAGGAACCGATGTTAAATGTAGATGTTAAACCCAAAACACTGGGTGAGGGCCCATAGGACAGGATGCAGCACATTTATCATTTACACTTGTCTACAAGTGTGGATTATCACACTGTGGAAAGTGTAGTGAGCAGCACAAGTACAGTCATACTCACAGCTGGCATAAAACAGCACCACTGTCTGGGCAGCTTCCACCATGGCAGAGTGAAAGGTCTCTTCTGTCAGGGTAAGGATCTGATCCAGGGGCAGCTCTCGCTTCTTGTCCCTGGAAACTGCTTCCACCACCTGATCATCCTGTATGTCTGCATGGAGAAAAGCATGAGCACACAGGACACAGGAAACTGCAGCCCCCTGCCTGCAACCTCATTGGAACATTTTAGGAAACTACCACCTCTCAGCAGACACATGGTGACTGTCAATTAGAGATTAAGTAATCACCTTACTGGGGGAATGGAAGGAAAAGAGACAATCTCATTGATAAACACACAAGCTCATCAAAATGCTCCTATGCCACCTCACACCACTGCCCAGCTGTATCCTCAAAATTGAACACAAGTCTTAAACATGCTGGATATTTGATCTTCCATGCTGCTGTGTCACTTTGTCTTCAAAACAAAAACAATTCTGTACGGGAAACAAATATATTCAAGAAAGCATTGTAGGAGCCACTGTTTTCTCCCTGAGGAATGCAAGTCTGAAACAGCTGTTACAAAAACATGTCTCAAACCTTCCCAAAGGGACTGACTAGTAAATCCTATGCTTCTGAAGCTTGGACAGAAGCTGGACCCAACCAAACATCAGCAGCTCCTCCCTCATGCCGGATCTCTGCAACTGTTCCAATCACAACAGTGTGTTGTGTTTGCCCATGGTGTTTGCCCTAAAAATTACACCTATCTGTCATGAAGCTCCAGTGATCTGCAGAGAATGAAAAAGCCAGTTTGTACAGACATCATGTGACTGTGATAATCATAGTGACAGCATGACAGAACAGTTGAGGCTGGCAGGGACCTTGAGGCCATCTGGTCCAACCCCTGCTCAAGCAGGGACACCCAGAGCAGGCTGCCCAGGCCCAGGCCCATGCCTGGCTGGCTTTAGAAGATCTCCAAAGAGGAGATTCCACAGCCTCTCTGGGCAATCTGTGCCAGTGCTCTGTCACTCACACTGTAAAAAAGCATTTCCTGATGGATCCTCTTGTGTTCCACTTTGTGCCCATCACCTCTTGTCCTGGCACTGGGCAATACTGAAGACAGCCTGGCTCTGTCTCCTCTGCAACTTCCCTTCAAACAGACAGCTTGCCATGGATTTGCAAGAGTATTCTTGAATGCTTTAACTCTGCGTGTCTCTAGGAGTTGCTGATTGCATGCCCTAATTATTGGTGATAATTAGCTTTTCACTTTCTAGTTACACACCTTGATTGTCATTATCTTTTTCATCCTCATCTTCCTCATCTTCCTCCTCATTCTTCTGGATTTGTTTAACCTTGCTCTTATCTTCCACCAGAGTTATAACTTCCTCAGTGTCTTCCAAGACCAGGTATTTGATTGGCACTCCCTAAAGGAAACAGGAACAAAACATCACTCTGTGTCTCTTCTATCATCTGCAAATGAAACTCAAAATAGGGAATTCTAATGGAGAGGGATTTTAAAGCTCCCTCTCACCACCTAGCTTCTTATTTCTGGGATATGTCAACAGATTCCTAAAGCTACCAAACCATGGATGTGCTTCCTTGGCCCAGTTTCACCTGCACATTAGTTTTCTTTTCATTCCAGACTGCTATTTCCTTTTCAGGAAGTAATTGTAGCTATGTGGGATTTTGTGTCTGTAACTGGAGTGGTGAAAGTGAACACGTGCTCCACCTCCCAACACCTTAACACAGAGCTACTGTGTGAAAAAACCCAGAGGCCAAACAGCGAATGAAGGAGCTGAGGTACAAACATGGTGTCCACTGTGCTGCCTGGTCCCTAGCCTAGGTGGGTCAGGTTAGCCAGAGAAGCCCATCATGGACTGGGAAAACACACAGATGACCTTTTATCTCATGCAGCTCAACAAAGAATGCCCCCAAGTGTAATGGACTGCCAACCCACGGAAAGAAAAGTGCAAAATTTATTTCTCAGAAATGAGGCCGTGTCAGCTTTAAAACCAGTTCTGGCACTGTCTCAGGAAGAGGCACTTCAGAGAAAATGAATTTTATAATGAACTGAGAGAAATGACAAACTGCTGGCACCTCCCATTGGTTCTAAGAGGAGAAACACACCACGCACATCTCTCAGCAGGTCAGGGGAAGCCCTCAGGGGACACTCAGATTCAGGTCTGATCGTGTACATTTGCAATCACAAGTGTGACAGTTCAAGTCATTCGGGGCAACGTCTGTTCCCTGCCATTTGTTGCCTCACAAGGTGGGTCAGGCCTCTCCAGAGTTTAGCTCATCTTGATCAGCCTCTTTTAATTTAGGCCCTGCCCTTTTCCCAGATCACTACCAGAGGCATTTGGTTACATCAGTTCAGCACAGACTTTTGGTTGTTTGACTTTCTCGGCTCTCAGTTTCATGCTCGTTTCCTCTTCCATCTTTTGAACTCCTTTCCTAAGGGGCCAAGGGCCTTTGGAAGTCCAAATCTGGTGGGAATTTACACTTGCAGTATTGCCTTAGGTATTCACAATCTCACACTGACTTACTGTACAACAGAGAGATCACTCTCTGATTAGAACCCAAAATAAACACTTCCATTTATCTCCTGCAAGCAGGCACAATTCCTCTGCAGCATCAAGCTCAGGCAGCTCCAAACGCATGCACACAGCTATGGGAAGATACACCCCCTTGAGCTTCTTTGAAGGCCATCAAATACAAGAGGTGAGCAACACCTTAATACACTCTCAAGAGCAGCATTTCCAGATAGGAAATAAGATTTGTATGATAAAGAAATCCATCAAACCTCATCCGGTGTTTTGAGAGCAACGTTGGTCCGCCGCAGAATGTTCAAATTCACCCGGTCCCTTCCAAAATACAGAGTGAACATTAGATGGTGTGATGATACGCAGGGTTTGTACCCTGTAACATGCCTGCCTGACAAACACATCCTTCTCTCCGCTGCACCACATCCCTACAGTCATGTTTCTGTGCCCCAGAGTATGTGCTGGAGCTCAGTCACAAAGTAGGTGTTGGAGAAACAAGTTCCAGGTGACCTGGTGGGACTCACCCCACGTGTGCTGCATAACATGCCTATTTCCCGAGGGCTCTGAACTGCCTTTCTGTGACTCACACCTTTGCTCATCCATCAGTAACCACATCCCAGTGCAGCTGCTCAGATGGCAGACTCCAGCTCGCGTGTAAATGCAGCCAAGAAGTGCCTCTGCACATGGAGATACCACGAAGGCAGAAAGCCAGAAGACAGCCCACACCCATCCTTCCCATCCTTCCTCCTCCTTCCTCCATTGCACTGCTGCCAGCAGCACAGGCGCAGAGAAGACATGCCCTCTCACAGCCCTAACCCAAAGCTGCTGGATCCTCCTCTAAGATCTGTAATATAGGGGGGACATCTGCTCACAGGAACGCGTTTCTGACTCGTCACATCCTGCAGGTTTCTCATGTACACAGCCTGACTCTCCGTGCACAGCTCTGCTGCAGGCCAGCCATGCAGCATGTGTGCACGCCTCCAGATGCTCTGCAAACATCTGCAAACACAAGAAGCACATGGAGGCACCCAGCCCTGCTTATGGGCAGGCCACAGCCAAGATGGGTGGGGAGAGGACGCAAGACAGGATCTGCTGCATGCAGCCCACTTCTGAGCCTGTGAAACAGGGGTAAAGGAAACCAACACATCTTTGCAGCATAGCCCTGAGTGTCTCATTCCTATCCTCGTGGGAAGCAAACTTGTTGCCTAACTCTGGTATCCCTCTCTAATTTACTGATCAGAAAACCACCCAGCACTCACGAGCACGTGCGTTAGCACCCACAGTTCGTGTCCTTTACTGTATTTCCCTCTGTCCTTAATTTAAGGGCAAAATACAAGCTTTTTGCCTCTGCATTCCAAGTTTCCTTTCTGAAGTTTCCCATAGTCTATTTTTCTACTTCTAAATCAGCAATAGACTTAAATATTTCTACACTTCCAGACAGTCTGAAACCAAACTTACCTGATTCTGGAGAAGTTCTCAAACATTATATCTTTTCACAGGATATAACTAAGTTTTACTGCTTCTCATACAAATCAGAGTAAGCCCTCTGACTGTGATACCACCGTCCTTGTCGTGCAGTAAACAAGTTCAGAAACAGCATAGGAAAAAAAGAGAAAAGAGAATCTTCCAAACATTAGAAAGCAATTACCTGGACAAAATGGCAACTCCTGCTTTCCCCAGAAGTTTCCAGGCCAAAAATTCTGCTGTTCTCCTGTCTGCCTCGTAAGTTTCTTTCTGGCTGAGGATGAACACAAGCGGAAGCCCAAGCTGTAAGTGAACAGTGGAAACTTTCTCTGGGTCTTCAGCAACTTCAGTCTGGAAAAGATACACGGTTACACTGCAACACCACTCCACATACCTGAACATACTTCAGCTCTTTTACACCCAGATGTCGATTTCAACAGAATCTGTTTGAATTTGTTGCTGAAATTGGTCAGCGAGCTCAAAAGAAATTGGAAAGGAAAGCACAGAAGTCTCATTTCTCTCAGGAAAACTGCTGGAAAAACCAATCACCAGATTGTCATCAGTTTAAAAATTGTTGGACATTAAGAGCTAGGAAATACTTCCTCCCTGAACCCAGGAGAGGGTTCACAGCCTGCAATTTCTAAGGCCAACAGGTAACCTGGAAGGCTGATCTCCTGCACAGCCCGAGCCACTGTGTTCTCTGCAGTCACAGAAATAAGGATTATCTCCAGTAAAAGCCTCCAGCTCTGATTCTAAATCATCCACTGAAGCAGAACCAACACAAGCCTGGTTAAATAGTTCTAACCTTTCACGATCCTCTCTGGGCATTAGTATGCACGTTCTTTGTGACCTAGCAACTCCTGATCTCAAATTTCCATTAATTACTATTTGTCTGGCAGCCATTCCTGGGGGCAGTTTGAAAACCCTGTCAAATACAAAAGCTGGCATCCTTTCCCTTTCTTTCTTCGACATGCTGCTTCACTCTAACACACAGCTGCTTAATGAGGTGCCTTCTCTTCACAAGCCTCATCAAAGAGGCCAGCTGAAGGAGCCCTTCCCAGCTCATCTACCCATTCTTTCTGCTGGGCAGAGCTGTCACCAGTGGGAACTGGAGCCCTGCTGAAGTTCACTGCCCCATGGCAGACACTGCTGTCTGCCTCCTCCAGGTGCTGAGCCTGCTGTGAGGAATCCAGAAGTCCCAACAAAGTTAAAGGTGCACCTCCACCCCATTTTGAACAAAGCACAATTCCACTCATATTGGCAGTACCACAGGAGCACACATAGGCCTTGGGATTCCTGAAAAGGAGGACCAAAATTTAGAATTGTAATGGAGTGCTGCTCAGAACCAGGCTCAGGCCTATTCTTCACCTGAACTCAGCCTGAGAGCTTTACCACTACCTTAATGGAGAGGGGGCAGATTCTCATGCTCTGCCTTGTCCTCTGCACACACCTCCCTCATCCTTACGTCTGCCCCAGCTGCCCTCACACTGCCCAGCCCAAGTGAGTGCATCATTTCTCCTTCCCTCGTACCACAAGAGGAGCTCCCATGAGTTTGAGGTGTCTGTGGATGTTTAGCACTGTCAGATCCTGCTCCAAGGGTGTCCTCCTGCAGGGCTGTGCCAGGTCCACGGCCTGTTGGCAATGGCAGAACAACAGCTGGGCAGATGATACCTCAGGCTCCTTGCTGCTGTGAGGGAGAAACAAAGATCACACAGAGCTAGTAATCCACCACAGGGTTTTAAAACACCCTAACAAAAGGAGAATTTTGCTGCCATGTTTTACAAGGCAGACGATCCTTCAGTTCAGGGTGTGACTGGCTCTCGGGACTTCAAGAGCCCTACTACCAAAAGGTACATTTGTGTTCAGGCACTGCTCAGAATTGTGTTCACTATCAAATGAAAACTCAGGCTTACCAAGTATAAATGACCTCAATCCAAGAACAGTTGTCTCAGCTTAAAAGGACACAAAATAAAGCTTTTTTTCAGTCTGACCAGCCATGCTACTCCAGTAAGGACCCTGGCAGGAGAACAGCTGGCATACAAGTTCACTCGTGTATTTTACCTCACTGATGACACCTTACATACTGCATAAGGAATATCTCACCTTTTCATCAGCTTTGGTTTTGGCTATCCCAAAGGAAGCAGTGAAATCAGGTTCCCTATGTGGCTCCCTGGCTTGTGGTTTCTGGTACCAACACCTGCAGAGGGGTTAGCCTGTGGGTCAGCTTTAGGATGTCCTCTGCATTCATTCCACTGTCTTTAACCTAGGGATCACCTTTGTTTGTAAAGGGCTGTGAGATCTCTCCATGGAAGAGCGAGGTGCTGCATTAAGACACCAAAGCCTGACGGCTGTTCTCTCTGCTTTTGGAAGGATAAAGCCGCATCCTGTCCAAATGACAACCGTGCCATCTAGTGGCTGCCACAAAACGCCATCCCTGATCACGATCCAGCGAGGATGGGATGTGAAAACAATCGAACTGCTGTATAAATGTTTTGCTGAAGGTACATCATGCTATCTGATATTCCCACTTTCCTCTCTCCCTCCCAGCTTCCCGACTGCAGTATAGCATGCCAGCAACTCGCATTAGAATTGCAGAATCATAGAATCACAGGATGGTTTGGGCTGGAAAGGACCTTAACGTTCATTTGGTGACACTCCTTGCCTTGGGCTGATTGTCCCCCACCAGATCAGGGTGCACAGGGCCCCGTCGAGCCTGGCCCTGAATGCCTCCAGGGATGTGGCACCCACGGCTTGTCTGAGCAGCACTGCCAGGGCCTCACTGCCTTCTAACAATTTCCTCCTTACATCTAACTCAAATCTCCCCTCTTTTAGTTTAAAACCATTCCCACTTGTCCTATCTCTATCTCCCTTCTATTAATAAGCTCCCTTTGAGTACTGAAAGGCTGCAATGAGGTCTCCCCACAGCCTTCTCTTCTCCACGCTGACTGACCCCAGCTCCCTCAGCCTCAGTGGTGAGGAGCACCATTCCCATGAGCTGGTGATCCTCCTCCAGATCTGCTCCAGCAGGATTAAAGGAACTGCTCTTCTAATCCAGCTCCTCCTGTTGCAGAAGGGATGGTGTGAGCTGACCAGCTCCAGTGAAGCCATCAGATGGGAAGTCTCAACTACAGCACTGCAGGGAGCACCATCTCATGAAGTCAAACTGCAGAACTCACTGCTACTGAAGCTGTGATTACTGGTGACATTGTTTTTTTAAAAAAAGTCTAGTTGTTGTTAACATCATGATACACGTTCAGCTTCCATCTCTAAAAGTCCAGCAGCCTTTGACTACCAGAAGGTGTGATGCTGCATGCAGCACACTTGTTTCCTCATATCCCTTGCTAAGCATCAGAGGCCAGGGCATGAGGTAAGAGAGCTGGGAGGGCTTTGCTCAGGCTCACCATAGCAGTTCCTACACTTCTCATCTGGCCAGACTTGTTCAATAAAGAATGAGGCAGACTTGGGGCTGAGTGTGTCTTGAGATTATAACATCAGCTATATATATCAGATCATAACATCAGCAGCCTCTATGAAAATCAGGGAGCTACCAGCCCAGGCCTTCTGGTGTATCCAAACTGCATGGGTAGAGGATCAAGAAGGTCTCAGTAGGAAAGGCACACCTGTCCTGCAGTGACTCCAGTATGACTTCACTCCCTGTGCCAGATTTGTTTTTTATTAAATTTCCAGGGAGTCCACGGCTGAGATTTGACCAGTTACCCGAGGAAGGGAGATGGTGGGCTCCTCTCCTGTAAAATCCCATTCATGAGCAGTCACAGATGACTTGGCTAGTCCAAATCCAGGTACACAAGCAGCAACTGGCGTTGGAAAAGCAAAAGAGATCTGACTGTGCATCCTTAGTTGTTATCCTACCGTCATCCGTGGCAGACTCTTTCACCTTGAGGTGCAAAATGCATATGTGGGCTTTGATCTCACTGACATTCAAGGGTGCTGAGAACAGTCAATATTGCCAGCTGGATGGAAAGAAGATTTCTAAATACCCTTGAGTAACCCAAGTTGCTCTTTCACTGGAAATGATGTCTCATTCTTTAGCTCAGCAAGAGGCCAGCAGTGAGCCTAATGTGTAACAGGCCTGGCAATATTTAGACACTTTAAACTCAGGCTGAGAGGTTCACTTCTAATGAAAGTGAGTTTTCTCCCACACGAGCCAGCAAAGATGCCAACCCAAGATTTGATGTGACAATCTGAGAAACCAAGAGCAAGCAGTATTTGGACATACCCAGTGTCTTTCAGCAGCGTTGCCTCAGTTGTTAGAACAAACTGGTGGACAGTTCCATAGACAAAAGCCACCTCCATCACAGCTCTGTGCTCTGCAAAGAGAAAAGCACGACTAATTCACTGCTGCAGCTCACTCCAGAGCTCCTCTTTACACCTTTCAATTCTCCATTTGCAAGATTCTTTCGAAAACTCTCTTCCATCTTAGAAAAAAAAGGGCTCCAGGAGAGCAAAGGTGAAAAGCTAAGAGTTCATACCTGCTGTTCCAGTAGCTGGTACATATGCAAAGACCATGTTTGATTTCCCTTTCAGTGCATTTTCTATGTTCTGAAGATCCGTTGGTGTTTCAACATATTTAACTTCATTAAACAGCAGGGCACTGAGAAGCCAAAAACTCGTTACCAACTGTTTTCTTTTAGGAGAAAATATGCAGCTACATAAGCATGACTGGAAAAAAATACAGAGGAAAAGCTCCAGCTTCTTACTTGCAGATGCAAGACTAACAGCCAAACACAGCTGGCCAGATGTGTACTGGTGAGCCATCATCTGGAGGACACAGATTTAACAGGGCCAAACCAGACCGAAGTGAGAAGCCAAGCCTTCTGCATGGCTGAAAGCAGCCTCAGGAAACTGTAAAGTTTCTATTTATGCAGAATTTTCTATCAACAAGTAAAAATAAGCAATAAATGATTTCACAGAGATCAATCTTGTCCATACTCACAAAAGAACATTAGCAACAATGGAGTTCACATCAAACAAGGCGTCAGTAGGGAATTCTCTGATCAGAACGTTACCTCTGGGGAGGGAAGAAAGAGTGTCACCAAAGAAGCCATGCAGGATTAGCTATACATACTAAACTCATTTCTGCTGCGTAGAACAACTCCTGGTATCTGCTGGGGAAAAAATGTCAGGACTGAATGTGGGCACTTCCTAGGAGCTGCTCCTCCTCTGTCACATACAACCATCAATGAGAACTGAGCACATCAGGTTTGCAGAAGCCCCCTACCTGATATATGGAAAGCTTCCAGCTCACAATCCATGGAGGGATCAAGAGCTAAACATTCCCACCTAAGGTAGATGAACTAATCACACCAATAGGAAGAGCACCAAAGAATGTTTATTTCTTGGACTGGATCTGAAATTTAGCACACTGAATGCAGCCCTGAGGGACTCAGTGGTGGGAGAGCCCAGGATAGAACACTTGACAGAAGATTTGTCTGGTTGTTTCTTGTAACAGAACAGGAACGTGCTGCTAAAAAAGAACACAGGGCAGGAAAGGGGGCTTCATGATGAGGACAAAGCATCCAATTTCCGTGTTTTGGACCTTCTAGGAAAACTTTCAATTCCAGATATGTTTGCAGACTGGGAAAAGAACTCATTGACAGCAGCTCTGTGGAGAAGGACGTGGGGGTCCTGGTGGATGAGAAGCTGGAAGGCCAACTGCATCGTGGGCTGCATAAAAGAGAGGTGGCAGCAGGGCAGGGAGGGGATTGTGCCCCTCTGCTCTGCCCTTGTGAGGCCCCATCTGCAGTACTACATCCAGGCCTGCAGCCCCCAGCATAGCAAAGACATGGAGCTGTTGGAGAAGGTCCAGAGGAGAGCCACAAAGGTACTCAGAGGGCTAGGACACCTCTTCTATGAACAAAGGCTGAAGGAGCTGGGCTTGTTCAGCCTGGGGAAGAGAAGGCTCTGGGGAGACCTCATTGCAGCCTTCCAGTACTTAAGGAGAGCTTATAAACAAAAGGGAGACTGACTTTTTACACAGGCAGTTAGCAATAGGACAAGGGGGAATGGTTTTAAACCTCCCTTTTAAGAGGAGATTTAAATTGAATGTTAGGAGGCAACTTTTTCCTCAGAGGGCAGTAAAGCCCTGGCACAGCTGCCCAATCCCTGGAGGCATTCAAAGCCAAGCTGGATGGGGCCCTGGGCAGCCTGGTCTGGTGGGTGGCAATCAGCCCATAGCAGGGGTTGGAGCTGGGTGAGTTTTGAAGTTCCTTCCAACCCAACCATTCTGGGACTCTATGATACTACAAATGTTTTCCTGAACTCTCTATGCCACTGCTATCCTCATGGCTCCTCTCTTCCTATGCAGACATCTCTACTCCCTCATAGCATTTCATCCAAACCTTTGTACTTAAAAGCAGTGTGGAGGTCAGACAGCTCCCCCTTACCTGAACAGGTAGGCTTTCCTTAACGCATTCTCTTTTCCACAGTATCTTGAGACATCCTCTTTGGAACACTTGACCTAGACGTTAAAAGCATGTCATCAGTCACTCACCTCCACAAATGATGACAAACACACAGCACCACAGCTTTCTCCCATTCCAGAATGTAAGTACTAGCCTTTTCAAACCTGCCCAGGATAGAAAATACAATCACACAGTAGGATGAACAGAGTCCAGTGGTGCGGACTGGAATTTGTATTTCAGTTCCTCAGCCCTTAATTTGGGTCAGACAGCATTAAGAGATCTTGTGATCTGCCAAGTACATTCAAAGGGACTGACCACTACTTGCTTACTGAACTCAGTTTGTACCTGGAGGCAATGAAATACACACACACACACACACATATAAAAATACTTCTTACAAAATCTAACTGTACTTGCCCACATTTATAGTCTGCTCTCCTAAATCTGCATAAGGTTTCACTAAAAAAAAAAATATCTGTTCAGCATTTACTGCACTGTATGGAAAGGAAGTGATCTGATGCCATCCAACACTCTTCATAGCTCAACCTTCTTCTCTCCTAGTGCACAAGCAAGACTGAGTTGTGCAGGTCTCATACTCTGGGTGTATCAGCAGGCTCTCTTGTGTAACACAGTGGGGATCATACTCTTCCCTGTACCATGTTTAAGGGACACAGCAATAACCATGCAACACCACACATGACATACTTGGGAAATCAGATGAGACGAGCCAGCCACACTCGATACATGAGCCTTCCCACAGCAAAGGCCAATTTTCAAGAAAAATCTGAGGAGTTAAATATTCCTCACATCCATGGATGCTAATCATGGAGTGTGGACAACATAAAGTCTTCCTCAGATAAAGGAATCTGCCCCTGTCCCACAGGCAGAAGGTGTGACACAACCCACAACAAGAAGATGTGATGCTTTTGATTCATAGCTGTGCAGTGTAAGGGAAAACACTGGATGCTTTGCTGCAGCCAGAACCCACTTTCTTGTGGGGTCCCTCTACTTTCCATCACCCAAGGTAGGTGCAGACAATTTCTGTCAACCCCACAGTCAGCCCTGCAGAAATACTCTGTCCCACTCCTTGTTCTTGTTCACCTTCACCACTGAAATGCCATAGTCGTGCAGAGCCTCAACCGAGTTTTCAATCTGTTCCAAGAAGGGCTGGGCACCAGGAGAAACTGAAACACCAAAAAAAGCTGGTTTTAGTCCCTTCCCGTTACAGACAAGGAAGCAGAAGAGCAGAACAACCCTTTTCTCTCTGGCAATGCTAGCCTTTCTGGGAGTATTTCACTCCCTGGTCAGACCAGGATCACAGTCTGCCTGTGACAACGGGAAGGATGGGCATCAATGTAGATATCCCTTATGAATGATCTTTAAATTCAGATGGACTGGAGTTCTCCAAGCCACTATGACTTCCAAGATGCCAGAGATCCCTAAGCAGCATGACATCCTTTGCTCTGTGCTGCAGGACACACTGCAAAGCACTACAGCTGCACTGAGCAGCAGTGAGGACGCTCAAGGATGCTGCATGCAGGCTTTTGCAGGTGCCACTAGTAACTGCTCATGTCCCCTGTTACTGCCTGCAGGGCACTGTCTGTGCTCTGGCATGGTAACAGCATGCTGAGGTCCCCTAGCAAACATCATCAGGACATTCGTGCAGGCCTGAGCAGGAACAAATAGGGAGCTGCAGCATGCTGAAGGTGGAGCTGTGTGAAGGGATTTGGCTGGGAGCTGGCATGGGGAGACAGGACTGGAAGTGGTTTTGTTACATGGGCATTGTTCTGCTGGGCAGCAAGTCCTCACAGGGTCCTCAAGAGTATCCTGCTGCCATGCAGTGATACAGCACTCATAATGTGGCCTTGCTCTTAGAATAAGGTGTTTAAGAAACAAAACTGACTGTGGGCAATAGCACAAACGCCTGCAGGCTGCCCACTTTCCTTTCTGACACACCCAGCCTGCCCTCAGTACAGCTGTGGGAGCTGTGTTGGTGTCTCTGCCCACATGTCTGGAAAACCACACATGGGGGGCATGGAGGAGCAGAACAAGAAAGGCAAAGTAATAGATCTCCTTGTAATTACTCTGCTCTGGAAAAGAAATACAGCCCATTTCAGGGAGCAGCTCCTTACAGGGCATCTGGAAGATTAACGAAAAGGCTTGAAGGAGTGTGTTTAGGGACACAAGCAGGAAAGATCTCAGCCCCAGACACCTCTGTCTATAAGGACTACACAGGAGCTGTGCAAACATAGATTTGCCAGTGAAGTTTGCCAGCTCCTCAAAATAGCTTTGCATTTAAAAAGTTCAGGAATTGACCCTTCATTATTCCACTTTCACACACACTCTAACATGAGTCTTCCCTGAAAACCCAGGCTCACGTAAATGCATGCTACTGAATACATACCAGTATGGCTGAAATAAGCCAAGGAAGCCTTGCTAGCTTGCAAGCCACTGAAATACTCGTGGGGGCTCAACTCCTGTAGCAGACTTGCACTTCCCAGCATTGGAATGGAGACAGCACAGAAGAGCAGGAAAGAGAAGGAAGAAATCCATCTGTCCTCCTGAGCTGACATGGTTATTATCAGCTACAGGCATAGAAGAGCCACAACTGGAAAACAAACAGATATACAAAACATAAATATATATATATGCACACACGTAACATGTATATGAACATGTATATGAATGTTTTCTGTTCAGATAGGTGGAGCATGACTGTAATTTACAAACCAAATGGCAGAGGGGTTTGTCCAGACTGCTCCGTGTCATGCCTTGCTCAATCCCTCCTTACTTTTTTCTGTCACCAGTGACACTGGAGCAAAATCTATGACACATGCCAGGCTGCAGGACAGGCCTGGCAGCCTCCCTCCCACTCCAGGATCCTACATGGAGACGTCTGGGAGGAAAGCCAAGAAAAGTTGTGAGATGCCTGAGAAGCCAAGACCAAGTGTGCAAGCCTGCCGCCAGGCTTCACCAGCAGCGTTCCCCAAGGTGCCTTGCCGCAGCTGTGGAATTCCTCCCACTTGGATTAAAGGGCTATGGAGAGATATGGACAACAAGCTCTGACTACAGGATGAAAAAACAACTTCTTGCCTCCTAATTCCCCAGTTTAATACCAAGCTCTCTTGCAGCCCGCTCTTTGGGTACCCATCGTTGCTGCTGAGCATGCAAGAGCAAGGCTGGTTCCTGGTCAACAATGAGACAAAGCTGGAATTCAAGCCTCGAAGAAGCTGTTTGCTTTGCATTATGAGCTGCAGCTGTTTTCCTTAACAAATGTCCCTGTGTACATGGGCTATTATTCCTTCCAGTGCTGCGTCAGATGCTGTAAGCTTGTTACTGCTGCTCTGTTATGAACCCAAAGTCAGATGCTCAAAAAAAAGCAGGCAAAGTCCCTCTGCCTTGCTCCGAGAGCAGGCAGCAAAGCAAGGCATGCTCCACCTTCAAAGGCCTCCTTCTCTCTCACTCAGGCACATGAGGTGTTGGGATAAGGCCTTCACAGCACGAAGGAACAAAGACAGCCGAGGAAGGAATGAAATCTTTTCATCTGAAAGTCTCCAGTCCTCTCCCTCCTACTTCGGGATGTGCCAGGCGCTTCTGGTTCTTTGCCCTCCCATCTGTTCATCTGGCTTACAGAGGGGACAGAGATCAAGGGGATGGGGGGATGTTTACTGAATGACAAACTTGGCTACAGCAGGATGGAAAAATAAACTCAATCCTGGCGTGTAGGAACGAGCCCAGGTCAAATGGGAAAGTTTACTACCAAGGAGGCAAAGCCAGAGGAGCAGCCCACAACGATTCCAATACTTTGCAGCCTGATACCTGGAGGAGGATGCTTGCAGTTTAAGACACAACTCTAACTTCTTCCCAGCCCTGATCTCCTTATCCTCTTTTCGGAGCTCTTGCTGAGTTCTGCAGCTCCCAGCCCTCTGGCTCTCCCAGCCTCTGGTTCCACGGTGTGCAACTCTCCCAGACGCAAACAGGAACTTCAGAAGCACTCAATGGAGGGAGCAAAAGTCAAGATTTACCACCCATGTTCAGGAGAGACTGGAAGCACCTGGATCTGGGATTTTCTCCTCCCTATGTGCCCCATAAATGTGTCCAAGCTGGTAACCACTGAAAACACATCTCCTCACAGGAGAAGAATTTGTTGTCAGTCTACTGACTGCTCCTTCAGCCTCAGTATTACAACAGCCTCTACCCGCCCAGCTAGAAATCTGGCAGTGATTATATCCCTCATATCCTCATATCCTGTCCTCCTCCTCCTGCCATTTCCCATTTTGTCCCAAAATCACACGTAAGGCCCCTGAGCACATCCTGCCTTAAACTACTCTAAAGCCAAGCCTGTCCCTGCCCTAGAGGTGCAGTGCCTGGCCAGCTCGGCCTTCCCACCCACATTTGGTAAAACCTGGCTTAAGGGTTTCCTGGCAAGTCTGAAGACTCCAATACTTCTCTGGAGTCGAAATAAAGCCCAAATATGCCCAACCATAAAGCAGACTCAATTAGAGACCAACAGCACCAGGGGATGAAAAGCTGTCTTCAAAACACCCAAAGCTTCGTGGTAGAGTGCTGGAATTGCTCATAAAGCAAGCAGTGAACCACCTGTGAGGAGGATATCGAGAACAGCTTGGCCAAAGAACAGTTTAGATAGATGTAGTGCAGTCTCAGGGCAGAGGTCTCTGGGAGCTTCCCCAGTTGCATTCTTCCTGCACTGAACTTCACACAGGCTCAGAGAGGCAATGTGCAAAGCCACTGGAGAGACTGCTATGCAGTGAGCCATGTGCTGACTGGGAACAGGAGTGCTCCAGCACACCATCACAGCTCCACCTGGGTGTTCAGTGTCACCACTGCTATCCAGCCTTCCATACTCAGTGTCTGCTGGATTATTCAGCTTTTAGGCCATTCCCTGAGCCACTTCTTTTCCAATGAGGGAAGATTAACACCATAGGGTTAGAAACAGCCCGAACTCCCTACAGCAGCCACTTGCAGGATTACCAAGGATGTGTGAAAATACCAGGCATGTGTGAACTGGCCCTCGTTACAGGAATGACTCCAAGGAGAAGGATCTCACCAAGAACCCACGAGGATCCAGGGAACAGGCTACAGCTAAAAACAACCACAGGCAGCTGGGACACGTTGCAGCCTTGCTTTGGCTGCTGTCATTCAAGGAAGGGCTCTGTGTCACTTGTGGGAAGCCCTCAAACCCACAGGCCGTGGCTGTGCACATTGCAGCCAGTGTGCAAGGCCTGGTTTGTGTGTTCATTGTCATGCCTTCTAGACAAAGCCAGGTAAAATGGCCACTGCAGATGACCTAAAATAAGAGTAAATACACCAGAGACACACTGGCATAATTTGCTTGTGCTACATTGATTTTGCTTGGGATTCCTGCAGTGGTAACCATGGGCTGGGATCCCCTTACCTCTGATGACAATTCTAAAGTTAATTATCACTACATAGTTTTGCTGGAATAAATTGCTCATCAGTCAGCCTCCCTCAACGTTTCTGAGGACAAGTTCTTCGACCTGCCTGGACACGTTCCTGTGGGACCCAATCCAGGTGTTCCTGCATGGGCAGGGGATGGGACTAGATGATCTTTTGAGGTCCCTTCCAATCCCTGATGCTGTTATTCTATGAATGGGGCCACGCTCACCCGTGCCATGGAAGTGAACTATCTGCTGGCCAATTCCACCTGCCCCTTCTGCACATTGGCCTGTGAAGGAGGCACGTGTTGGGGCCTGTGACCAGGAGAAGGCAGGTGATGTTCCCATCCTGGCTAATTCTGATCACTGCAGCGTTCTCTCATCACGTGCTGTCACGGGTTTGCCCCTTTAACCACAGAAAGATGTTTATTTCTACAATGAGCATATCAAAAAGCATCCCAACCCCCTGTAACTAATGCTAGGAGCTGAAAGCAGACCCATGTGCTGCATCCAGAGAGAAGCAAGAGCCTAATTGCAACAGTATTACTCCAGTATTTATCCACAAACACTTTCAAGCCCCAGGGCTGAGAGGCTTTTTGTGCACAGACAGTTACATTTTTTACAAACAGCATTTTAAGGACCTTGCAGACTGCTATGTAATCGGTCTGCGGCACAAAGCAGCGCCAGGGCAGCTCATGTGACTGGAGGCACATCTGGCACATTAAGTCATATGATAACAGCTCCTCTCCCACAGTAACACTTCCCCCAGTATCTCTTTGTGCCGCTGCCTCTCCCCTACTCTGTGATCCACAAACCAGACATGCTGAGCTCTCAGACCTCACATCAGGCAGGCACAAGGACCTGGGCAGGACAGAGGCCCTGGTGCAGGCATTTAAGATATGGGGTTTGAATAAAGGGGGCCCATAGGGCAGGCTGTTGTGAGCTACAGGAGCTGCATCTTTTGGCACAAGGAATCTTCTGATTTCTCAAGGGTCATCAAGAGGGATGGGAAAACACATTTACAGCAAAATAATCCTTGCCTGTTGCCCAGTGTGCTTTGCCTTACTGGGTTTCTCTCAGTGATGCCCTCATGCTGGCTCCCTGCTGGAGCTTGGCCTCCTCTCCTGCAGAGCACCCTGGAAAGGGGCATTCAGCCACTTCCCTGAGTTTCACTTTCATTTTCACTTTCAGGTCCCACTTCCCCCAGCACCCAGGAACTCCTTATTTTCTGGTCCTGCAGCCAAAGCAGCCTCACCCCTCTGCCTACAAAAGGAGAGAAAGTCTGCACTGCTCGTGCACAACTGACAGCCCACGCCTTGCCCGTGTCTCTGCCCAGCTTGTCCCCGAGGACCTTCCTCCCACAGCTGGCACTGCACAGGTAGCTGTTATTGCTGAGCTGCCTGTAAGATGGCTTAGGGGTGTCACATACCTGGCAGGCGCTGCTTCCAGCAGCAGGCTGAAGTGCTCGTCCCTCGTCCCCAGCTGCAAGCAGAGCACCACGTGTGAAGGACTCCTGGAGGCTCCCGCAGTCCGGCACGGTTTGTGGCCTGGCTGCGTGCCACAAGAACCTGCAGGCAGCCCTGTCCTACACTTTGCCTATGGGATGTTTGAAATAAAGATGTGCTGGTCTGAACCTTCCAGTGATCTCAGAGCCCTGAACTGAGATCTCTTGGTCCTGAGGAGAATCTCTAAGCTATCCACCTGCGGGCTGTGTCTACACCCGCAGGGATCTCTGCATAGAAAAAAAATAGAGAGGGTCCCTGATCTACATCCAAACACTCCCACAGCACAGGAGACCCAACCTGCACCTACAGCAGCAGCCCTTCCCCACCCACATCTGCTGCAGAGGTTCAGACCCACCACAACACCTACAGGGATCTCTCTGCTGGCCCTGCTGTGGCAAAACAAACGTCAAGGCCCCCAGTCCTCCCTTACAACAGCAGGGATTTCTAACCGAGGCCTTACAGCAGCGCTGCCCCCAGCCCCACGCAGGGGGAGGGTCGGCTCTTGAGCTGCCAGGCCTTCCGCCCCTAACCAGACGTCAGAGCCGTGCTGCGGCTGTGGGGAACCGAGGGCTGCCGGGGCAATGGCCCTGCCGCTACGGGAACCGCAAAACCCATCGGGCCCCTAACGACGCCAGACCCCCCGCCCTGCCCCTGCGGGGACCCTCAGAACCGCCGGGCCGCGGCGCTGAGGAGAGCCTCGCTCCGCCCCCGTCAGCGCCGCCACCCGCGCCCGCGCCGCCAGCCAATCAGCGGCGATATCCCGCGCCTCGCCCCGCCCCCGCCGCCCTCCTCCCGCGAGGAGGCGGGAGGCGGCGACCCGAGCGGCGAGAGAAGCGCCCCGCTCACAGCGGGGGGGGGGGGGGGGAGGGACAGGGGGGTGCGTGAGCGACGGGCGGCGCCGGCCAATCGGCGCGGCGGATGGGCGCGGAGGGGGCGGTGCGGCGGGGAGCCAATGGGAAGCGCGCGCTGTCAGGAGCGAGCGCCTCAAATCATCGGGCTCAGCTGATTGTCCCCGGCACCGAGTTGCTCGGCGGCGGCGCGGCCGGCGGCGCGGGCGCCCCTTTGTTGCATGGCGCTGTCCGGCTGAGGGCAGGGCGGCCGGTCGGCCGGGCGCGCGGCGATCGTTGCTGCCTCCCGCCGCCCCATGAGCTCCCTCGCCGCGGGGGCGGCCCCGGCCGAGGGCCCCGCCGTGCCCTACGCGGTGGAGCTGGGGCTGACGGTGCTCCACACGGCGCTGTACGCCGCGCTCTTCCTCTTCGCCTACCTGCAGCTCTGGCTGCTGCTCTATTACCGCGAGCGGCGGCTCAGCTACCACACGCTCTGCCTCTTCCTCTGCCTGCTCTGGGCCGCCCTCAGGACCACGCTGTTCTCCTTCTACCTGCAGAACTCGCTGCAGGCCCTCCGCCTCCAGCAGCCCTTCGCCCACTGGCTGCTCTACTGCCTGCCCGGCTGCCTGCTCTTCGCCGGCCTCTGCCTCCTCAACCTCTACTTCGCCGAGGTGAATTCCCGCGGGCGGGGCGTTGGGGGGCCGGGCTGCGCCCCGAGGGAGCTGTGGGGTGGGGGGCTGGGGGTGCCGAGCGCTTCAGGGCGCTTTTGGGGGCGGTGACCCCGCTTGGGGTGAGGTGGGAGCCTGCGTGCGTCCTCGCCGGGCTTTCCTCCTCACGGCCCCGCGGTGGGGGCTGTGTGGGGAGGTGGGGGTGCGGGGGTTTGGTTTTGTCTCGTTTTATTCATTCCCCTCCTCTAAAAAGGACCAGAAAGTGGCAGCGAGCAGCAGGGGCTGCTCGGGCCTGGAGTGCTGCCAAGCATTACGTCACCAGCCAGAGCCTCTTCTGCTATTGTTGCTGCGCTCCCTCCTTCTCTCCATCCCTCCTCTCGGGTTTGTTTTTGTGCTCCTTGTTGTCAGGCAGAACCCCCGCGCGCCCCCCCCACCCCCCCAAATCCCTCTGCCCTGCTCCCCAGGCAGGGGTTCTTGCTGAGCCCCCTCCCCACACGGCGCTCAGGACGATGCGGGGTGCTGGCTGTTGTTGCCCAGCTGCATTCCTCCTTTTCTGCCGTTCCCCATCATTCGATATGTGTTTTTTTTTTTACCCTCCTTTCACTTGCTTTTATTTAGTCTTAGCTTTCCCCTCCCCTTCCCCCTCTGAATATTTTGCTTCTGCTCCAGTTTCTCGTGAGCGGCCCTCTGCCTGCCTGCCTTCCCGTTTGGTGACTTGTTTCATAAATAGACAGTACTTTCCTTCCAGCTTTGTTGTTCGGATTCTTTGCTCTGCAGCTCTCAGCTGTTTGCCAGCCTCACAAAGGAATCGCTAACACACAGCGGAATCGCTCCGTCGCTCCGATGTGTCACCAATAGGAATTATGATTTCATTTTCCCTAGGATATCCACGTGCATGTGATAATGCCAGGCTGGGAGATGTGGGGTGCTTCTGCCTTTTGGGTTCTTCTCCTCCTGACACAAACACCTGGAGGCAGTGGGGGTAAACTGCCCCCTGTGAAAGCTGTTGGTGCTGGGTATGCTGCCTGTCGAGTGGAAGTAGAGTAGCAAATGCTGCGTGGTGTGCATGATCCATCTTGTGTGTTAAAGGGAGCCTGACTTACCAACTGCTCCAACCAGTGGGTGTTTATGTCACCCAGCAGGCAAGCTGACCCAGGATCCCAAGTTCTGTTGCTGCAGGCTGGCTTGATTTCAGTTTTCCTCCAAGTTGCTGGACTTGATAGTGAGCTCACCTCCTTGCAGGCTTTTTAAAAGGCTTTTAATAAAAATACAGTAAATTCAGATGGGCTCTCAGGCTGCCCTTCCTCCCATGATATCTGTTTTGCAGCAGGCTTGGGCTGGGTATGCTCTGCTTCTTTCTCCTTGAAGACCTAGAGCCAAGGGAAATCCTGTCTGAGGAAATAAGAGCTCAGGATCTAGAGTGGGAAAGGATAAGATGGCTTATTAAGATGGGTGTGCGTGCTTAGTTACAGAGAAGGGCCTGACACTTGGCCATCCTGAGCAGCACGGATGTCCAGCATGCTGTGGTCTGAGTGATCTCACAGTGGTGGTAAGTGGTGAAAGCTGTAGCTGCTGGCGTTTGGAGAAAATGCAGCTAGATGGACTGAAAGCTCTCACTGCTCTTCTGGCTTCCATTTTAATGGGGGAAAGAAAAAACCCAACCAACAGTATTAACTATATATAGGGATATTTGGTCTCTTCTGCTTGGATAACAGGCTGGTAAGGCTAGCCTGTCCTTTTCTTAGCTACCAACACATGGTGCCCTTCTGCCAAGTGTATGCTCAGCTGGGATGTACTCAGTGCTTTCCTTAAAGCATGGGGGAGCTGCATTAAGGTATGTTAACAACAGTGCTCCTTATGCTCTATCTGGAAGAAAGTGAAGCTGTTGTGGAAGAACTGTGGTTTAGCTGAGGAGGCTCAAGATCTAGAGATGATTATGTCTACTAGTGTGACCAGGAGATGGTGTGGAGGGCCCATCAGTTCTCCATTCTTACAGGCCAGTTGACAGCAACCTGTAGAGGAGTGCAGGGCTTTTGGCGGTCTGGGGCTGCCATCCTTGTCTGAGATGCCCTCGGGTGAAAGCATAGGCTGCTTCTGTGCTGCAGGCATAGCTGATCTTTGTACACAGTGCATTCTTTGTGGAGACGCTGGAGAAGTGGCATGTCTAAGCAGTGGCAGCAAATGTGGCCTGTGCTGTTTTGCACTGATCTCGTTTGATTTGCAGAGCTCTTCAGGGTGAGGGTGAGATAATGCTGAGCAGGGGACCAGCCTCAGGAAGCAGCAAATGTACATGAAGAGTTGGAACAGCTTAGGGCACAAGCTAACACTAGGGATGAAATCCAAATTAAGGCAGCTGCCTGGTGTTCATCCCTTCTATGGGGGTAAGGTTGTCCAGTCCCTATCCTGTCTCGGTCCCTGGGATTCCTTAAGGGTTGGGGAGGTTTGACAAGACGTGTGTGGGCTGCTTATTTGGCAGTGTCTTTCATTTCACCTGGAACATCAGGAGATGTTGTGCTTTCTGTCTGGGAGCATCTCTTCCCTCTGCTTCAGCTTGTGACAACCAGTTTCTCTCTGGGAAATTGGAGGATTATGGTGCATCGCATCAGAAATTCCTCAGCCTTGCTTCAAACCATCAGAATGCTGGCTCAGATACTCAGCCCAGGATGTTTGTCTGCCTTGTGTGGAATAGCTCCTCTGCCAGTTAGGCATCTGCTTGAGCAATACTACCTTTCCCAAGAGCCTGCCAATTACTGCTTCCCCCAGGTCATTGTCAGGAGCACAATACGTGTAAATGTAGCCACAGCCTCCACCCTGACCCTTTCAAAGACCTTGAACACTTGGCATCTTCAGCTCCCCTGAGAGTCAGCAGCTGAGTGCAGCAATGAGTAAGGCCTTCTGCTTGTGGTGGATCCGACAGGCTGCTCTGCCAGACTGGTGTGGCCGTAACCCTTAACCTGTCTGGGTTTCTCTAAGTGGTCCATCTGATTAGATGACATCAGCCTCTTTCATCCCTTGTTGTTCTAATTGTGCTGGAGCAGACATGCATGGAGAGAGAGCATCCAGCCTGGGAGCTCTTTGTCCTTTTCCAAGGGTAATGTCTTCCTGCCTTTTCAGATGGAGATTTCGAAGAGCCTTCATCCGTTCCCACATTCTTCTACAGTCTTCCACATTCCCTGTCTAGCACACCTGGTGTGTGAGCTTTCCCTTGGTGGAATTGCTGGTACAGGGGCTGAGGATTCCCTGGGGCCCCACAGTTGAACAGATGGCTGTGCCAGCGAGCAGCTATTCCAGAACATCGCAGTGTGTTCTGTGTTGGTGATGGGGCAGGTGAGAGATCCTCCTTTAGGTGACTTCCAGCTCTTCCTCATAGGAGTGGATGGGGGGGAGTCTTGAACAGGGTTTATAGAATGCATTCCCAAAGTAGTCTCAGCTTGATGTTGAATGACTGTGGTGAGAGAACGTGGCTGCCCTTGCAGTAAGGTCTGTCCTCGTGTCGAGGCACAACACAGTCCTGCCTTGCATCAGGAGAGCCCAAACTCGTTAACTTTATGAGGCAAAAAAGACTTTGATTCTGTCAGAAAAGGGACAGGATTGAAAGTCTTCTGGATGTTTCAGACCTGTTGTGAGTGGTTGTACCTCAGTGAAGCTGCAGTTGGGTGAGCATTAGGGCTGGAACTGGTCCACAGCCATCTATGGGATGTGGTCTTTTACCTGTCATCTCTTAGCAACTGACATCTCCAGCACACCTTCAAGGATGAGTGTTTCTGATGCTCTGAGAGCACGCCTGTAGCAAGTTCACCTTCTGGGGTCAGTGATGTGAGCAGGGAGATGGCCTTTGTGAAATACCTGCTCTTGTCACAGAAATACCTCTAGCTTTATAGGGGCCCTCTGGGTCTGTAGTGTTTTGTTGGTTTTTTTTCTTTTAGCTTCACTTTTTTTCCCCAAGTCTGTAACTGATGGGAAGTGCAGGAAGGACTTGCTTCCAGAAAAACAACTGAGATTTGCTTCACTTTGCTTAAAGGCTTGCTTAGCAGCAAACTGCCTAGCCCTGCTGCTCTAGGCCAGCAGAGACATCTGTTCTCCATTTTCAGCAACTGCATGGCTCCTGGGCTGGCTACCCAGCTGAACAACACCAGCCCTGTTTGTGGGGACTGCTACTAGCAACATGGTATGATG